TCCTCAACAGTATACGTAAGATAATTGTTTTTTTACCCTTCTATCTGGCAACAAAACTGACACCTTTTTTACAAGGAGTCATGTTTGCATAGACCACAATACCTGCAGTCATAATGCAAACAAAAAACATAACTCTGATAATGTATGCACTGTTTTGTTTGCATTATGACTGCAGGTATTGTGGTCTATGCAAACATGGTGTCAGTTTTGTTGCCAGATAGAAGGGTAAAAAAACAATTATCATATTTTTTAGTGGCAAATGAGGTTCCAATGGAGTATACGTAAGCTTCATGTGTTATCTTTATCTTGTTCATTGTCTTTGGGGTATTATTTAGTGGTAAGTGAACTGCGAGTTGTTCAATTGTACACATTCATCTTCTTGGTTCTTTCGGTAAAGTCACGGAGAAGGGAAATAATAAAATAATAAAAATAAAACATAATAAAATATTATTATTATTTCCCTTCTACGTGACTTTACCGAAAGAACCAAAAAGATGAATCCCTGCAGTCACGAAAGCTTTAAATCGAAATGTGTACACATTTACTTAACATCAGCAAGTGAGGGGAGACACAAATTATGGAGCATCGTTGACTGAACCACGAAATCCTCCTGGTGCCCAGGCAACGTCGCAGTGCCCTCCGTGGCTCAGACGCGGCGACAAGACGGTACTTAACTACATTGACGTACGTGACCCGCATGTCCATAGCCAGGGCCAGTCTATCCACAGGATGGACACGTGATTTCACTCAATTTTGGACTAATATTGACCTCCGACCCACGAGAGGTGAAAGTAACAAAAGGTAACCAGTGTTTGCCTTGCTAAAATATAAGCATAACTCCATTACAGTTCATGTTTTCATATACACATTTAACAAACAATGTGTCCACCAGCCTACAACTGGCTTCGCAGACTAATAATTTGAGTCTAATCAGCGGAGCCACTCTCAGCCGATGTTATTGGCAACAACATTCCGTATAGAATATGGGATTCCATTCAACATTGCACGCTCTTGATTTGAATAGGTCTGCACAGGTAAAAGTATCGAATTATGCATGTATGTTGAACTTCTTTTGCACTGTACGTAGCTAATCGCCGGTGAGAGGGAAGGACAACAACAACACAAATTTAAGACGCTTTTGAACGCTAAAATGGCGAATAAAAAAAAACCCCAAGGAAGTTGCAGGCTTTACAACAACAAAAAGAAATGTCACGATGCTCGATTTACTCTTTGGTTCTTTCGGTAAAGTCACGTATAAAGATAAAATAATAAATTAAATAATAAATAAAGTACTGATTTTCTTTAATTTATTATTTTATCTGTATACGTGACTTTAGTATGCTATTATTAAATTTATTATTTTATCTTTATACGTGACTTTACCGAAAGAACCAAAGAGTAATTCCTGCAGTCACGAAAGCTCCAAATTAAGATTGATGCTCGATTTATTTCATAATGAGCCACTGACGTGTTACTGTGACGCGCCGCGATGACGCAGGCGTTTCCACGCTCGTCATTCACCAGGAGCACGAACCGCGACGCAGTCACAATCATCAAATTTACAATCGCATGAAGCCGCGCGTATGTGCTCATGTTATATGTTTTCAGCTGCCACCTTCGCGGGCATGCAAATCTAAGAGCGCACACTCTTTCAATTACAGGCCCTTCAACAGTAACTCTTTGTCACTTGCAATTCATTCGCAACTGGAATTGGCACCCACGAACTTCCTTTTTGTTGGATTTTTTTTCCTGATCATGGGGCCAGTAACTAACGACGCTCTTGAATGTACAATAAATAAAATAGGTGCTCCAACTAAAGTGCCACCAATTCGGGAAAAAAATATCTCACGGTGACATTTCTGTAAATGCAATTCGTTTTCAGCCACAAATATCGGCCTCCAAAACCCCAATCTCACCCAATAGGGATTCACAGCCACTGATCCCAAAGAAGTGAGTCCCATGTTCCTTGTAAATTCTGTGAAAACGAGCTTACAGCTCATCGGATTCTTCCAGTATAAATACGATTCTGATTCCAGATTCTGAATTAACTCCCTTGGATAAATTCAATCGTCTCAATGAAGCAATCGTAATAATACTAATAATTGAAATTTCAGAAATAAAGGGGTTTTTTTTCGCCATGAAAGTTCGCACAGACAAGGAATTTACTTTGGCCGGAAGGTGCATACATTCAACATTCAACATTTATGATGCTAATTCTATTCTAGGATCGCAAGTTATCATGAAGCGGTGAGCTTCTAACGATTATTCTTTGGGTCCTTCGGTAAAGTCATGGAAGATAGGTTCAAATGAATAATAAGTATAACCCGTAAAAACAAAGTTTTTCACTATAAATCCTTTATATGCGTGGCGGCTAGAGTCCTCTCGTCCTCTGGCTTGAGATGGCTGCCACCTATGGGTCAGATGATTGTCTGCCAGTATTAAGCAATTGGTAATTAAATATTTAATTTGTTTTCCCTAAACAGTGTAAAATTTTGGAAAAATGTTTTCACGAACATTAATTGTCTCGCACAACGAGTCTGTGTGCAAAATGTCAGCTCGATTGGATCACGGGAAGTGGGTTAAAAAACGACCGAAAGGTTTGCACGGTCGTAAGCAAGCAAGCACGCAAGCAAGCAAGCGAACTTAATATAAAGGATTTAAAAATAAACAAAAAACTACGACGTTTCGATCACAACACAAGCGATCGCTCGTGTTGTCATCGAAGCGTCGTAGTTTTATTTTATTTGCATTAATTTGAACCTATCTACGTAACTTTACCGAAAGACCCAAATATGAATTCCTGCAGTCACGAAAGCTTTAAGCCAAGACTCTTCGAACGATTCACACGCAGTCATCTCACCTGCACCGTAATAGTAGCAGCCGCTACAGAGCCATTAATTATACACACGAGGTGTGTTTTTGACTCTGCAGGAGTTTTATTGTAATGGGCACACTAACCCTACACCCCCTTCCCACCAGTACCCCCTTGATGCGCTATTTGTATAGCTTGGGCAGTATTTTAAACAGCTTTCGACGGCTAATTTTGTGCGTTGTTAATGACTTCGTCGAGCTTATGAAATGCGCAGCACTTTTAGAATCACGTTCGGGGAGTTTGGCCATGCTCTGCATCTTTGGTCGGGATAGACTTTGTGTTCTGCAAGCTCAGCACAAAAGCCAGGGTTCCCGTGGCTTGGCCGCTCAAATAATGACACCACCATCTGGTCATATCTACGAGGAACCGAAACATGACATCGGCTGTGAAATGAATATTTATAGACATTACCGCGTGGAGTTTTTTTCGCGGTTGTCCTGCTGTGTGGCTCTCCCGATGCGTTTTTAGAGTTGCACTGCATTTTGTTCGGTGTCAAGAGGAGGAGGTTCGGGAGGGACACTGCTGGGCAGTTGGAGGCAGTCGCCCTGTTGTTGGTAGGCAGACGCCCTCCAACAACAGTGGAGGGCGGGCCAGAGCGATGCTCACAACAATGAGCGGAGTGCCGGGGTGGATAAAATGCAATGAGTTGTCACAGTAGAGGGCACAGGTGATGCGTCTGCCAGTCATCTCAGTCATGCAATCCATGACACCTGGGTCTCTCCCATGACCTCCTGCCAGCCGGCCTTCGACACTTCACGTAGCCTCGGAGTGCGCTTGGCCTGGCGCAAACGCTGTGGCAACATCACCACCACTTTTTAGCGAATGGCGGCTGTTGTTGGTGTTCAGCACGATTGCACCGTGCCTACTGTCGGGGGAAACTGCTGCTGTGACTTTGTTAATAATAATAAATTACATTTGTAAGGTGCATTGAATCAGCAGATCCCAATGCGCCACCGTGTATGGAAAGCCAGGAAATAAACAGAACCTGCAGGGCAAACGGCCACAACAAGGGGCTAAAGGCCAGTTTAAAGAGGCCAGTTTTCAAGATGGGACTTAGATAGCTCTAACGACTCTGATTGTCTCATTAGCAAGGGCAAAGCGTTACAAAGCTTGGGAGCTTCACTGGCAAAAGCCCGATGACCCCAGGAAAAGAGCCTTGACCTCGGAGTACTCAGTAGAAGACGATCCAAATATCTCAGGGACCTTGTTGGAGAGTAAACATGGTCCAGTTCCTGTAAACATTGTTGGCGTTTCAACCACGTAATAAACACGCAGACGCATCAAAACCGTTCGGTGCACGCGCAGTCCCCTTCCACAGGACGTCAACAATTCAGTGCGGCCACCTATTGGTGGAATCTATGAACACCTGAGGCAGAAACACTGTGTAAAGCAGAGGTGGGAATTCAAGATGGCGGCGGCTCATGGGAGGTGCCGTGTCCTCTGAAAATGGCCATGATCAGAATTGTGTGAATAGATTACTTGACGAAAATGTTCAACATATATCTGGAGGGCGAGAGAGGGGGTGTTTTTTTTTACTAAAAGGGTTAGGTTTTTTGTACGTTTGGTTTAACATTTAAAACAAGAATTTAGCAGAAAGCCAATCCTCCATTGATGGCTCTGAGCTAGCGATATAAATTCCACATTCCTATGCCATAGACGAGTATCTCTACATGAAGGCCACCTGTGGCGGGACAACATAGTTGTGTCCATTCCCAACTGGAATTTGAACTCCCAACCTTCCATTTGCCAGTCTACACTCAAGTTCGTCAATCACATTGCCACCTGGCCAGTATGGTGGGCAGTGGCGTGCAGCATTTGAAATACCATAAATATGCGTGGAGCGACCTCACAGTGGTTAGAGCACTGCGCTATCAACCCGGCTACCCGAGTGTGATTCCCGGCCAGGGCTGACACAAGTGGCGAGTGATTCCTGAACTGCTCTTGCAGTGAACAGTTGTTGGTGATGTTTCATCGTACAAGCCCCGCGAGCTGGCACGGCATGGGTCTAGGCCTGCATTCAGCAATGGCTTGACAACGGGGTAGTCCAAATCGATGCACGATCATGTCCGACAGAAGCGGTCACTCACCTGTATGTGTTTTTGTCCCCCGCTCCAAACCCCCAACCCAGGCTGCAATGAGGAAGGCAACACTCACGGCAGGCCTCCTTTTCACGCTGTATGCATCGGTCTACGCGAGCAACCTGAAAGGTACGATGAGATCCAATCGCACTGCACTGCGAGACTCCATCCCTCGTTCCTGCCTCGTCCTGCCACTCGTAATGACTTCGCTGAAAGGCACCTCATGGACACTTGCCGTTTGAGAAGACACAAAAGTTAGAAGTGACGTGCTGGCTCCAGCTCATGCTGTGCCTGTGTCTAACCACCAAACCGCCCTCACTGACATCCTGGGTTTATATCCCAAGCAAAAAAGCCTACGGATTTCAGTCCAGTCACCAGCCAGTCAATCGTCCACGCCTTCTCCGATTAGCACGGTTGACTACGTACAGTCCGAAAGAAGTTCGACAAACGTACATGATGCGTACGTTCAAGCATTCGCGGATTTATTTAGAGGAAGGTAAAAGACGCTTTGGCAGAAGTCTGTGTCAAGGTACAAACAGAATACACGGAATGCAACTGGCCAAATATCCCAAGTAGGGCCCTCCTGAAAAGGGATACCACTGAGACTTGGCAAGGCATAATTTGGAAAAATAAAGTATCGTTATTATTTAATATAAAATGTAAAAATAAGTTTCTACTAAATTTGGTCATTTGCAGGTCGAATGGCTAACCACTAAAAAATTAACACGTGTTTTCAATATCTTTGGGAGTCCGTGTGGTTTCAATTTGGGCAATTATGACTGCGCAAGAAATAGTTTTACGTTTAATTTGACAAAGCCCAGATTTTGAGTTCTTATTTGGCAGAGCGGCACAGATTTAACCACCCAATTGTGTGCACAGCTCACAACACTTCCTTGTTCCCGTATTAGAGAGACCCGGGACGTGTGTCAGGCACATAGTTAAAACAAAGAGCCCATTTTCACTTGGTAAAAAATAAATCACTATTCACGCATGGTCCTCCTGAACCAATGTGTCCCAGTAGTATTCATTTAAGCAGCAAACCCAGGACTGGCTTCGACTTTCTGAGTCTCATCAGCAGACAGTGGCTTGTGATAAATAAATAAATCACTATTCACACATGCACCTCCTGAACCAGTGCGTTCCAGCAGTATCCATTTAAGCAGCAAACCCAGGACTGGCTTTGACCTTCTGATTCTTACCAGCAGATGATGAAAACAACATTTATATAATAAATAAATACAAATAATGCTGACTGCTGACTTGCCCGTTCGATAAAGTGACATGTGATAGCTGCTATCTTGTTTGGGGAAGTTAGTCGATCGGCAGGTTGCATGTGGTGGCGTAGAATATTGGTACCACCCCTCCCTCCCCACCTCTTCCAAGACTTCTATTCAGCGTGGAAGATTGAGTTAAATAAAGGACCATCTAGAGGGGGCTATCTGACAGAGGTCGCAACCGGGTACCCGATACCCATACCCTACCCGATACCCGGCTACCCGTACCCGGCCGGGTACGGGTACCCGTTTGCGACCCTGGTGCGGCCGGGTACGGGTACGGGTAGACCGTGAGTCACTGGTGAGTAACTCTTTGTCACTCATTTCCCAACGTCTTGTCTCTTCTCACAATTCAAGTTCCTAAAATCAACCCACCCGCGCCTGCAACATGGCTTCATCCCAGAGGTCGCAATCAGGTACCCGATACCCGTACCCTACCCGTACCCGCCCGGGTACGGGTACAGGTACCCGTTTGTGACCCTGGTGCGGCCGGGTACGGGTACGGGTAAGGAATCAAAACCCGTTTGCGACCTCTGCTATCTGGAGCTCCCTCAATATGGAGGCACCCATCCGCCTCCAGTGGCGTGAGTGAGAAATTGCAGGGCTGCACCTTTAACTTTTTGGGATCTGGAAATGTAATGACGCTTTGCACCGTTAGAGCGTGATAACATATACCCTAATTGGTGGGGAGTGGGGGGGGGGTGGGAAGCGAGAAATACAAAACGCTGAATATAAAGAGGGTAAGAGTATGACAGTTCCCTGGACAATTTTGAATGTAATCATAGGTTTTCGTTTAAAAGTGTGGCTTCGTGATCTAGCAATCTTTAAATATCCACGCCAGCACAGAGATTTGGCAGCTCATTTGCAGCTTGACCTTTCGTATTAGCGTCGTGAACCTGGCGGCCGCTCGCATTGAAATTCTCGTGTCACGTGACTTGCCACCAAATCTGTCCCCCCCCCCCCCCCCACCATTTAACCTACTTTACGATTGCTTGCGAAGATGATGTTTTCGTTAATTATTTGACTTTATTAATTTTATTGTAGCACTATTCCAAAACCATTAGAATGCAATTCAAGGAGTTCTGGATACCAATATTAATATAATTTACCAAAATTACAGTGCTAGTATTTCCCGAAAAGGGAAAATTCAAAATTACCATTTACGGCTGGCTTGGAAAATGAGCGTGCGACTGAGAACGCATTATAAACATTGAGGAAGAATTATTTTCTTTTTGGACAGCCACTCTTCCTGTTGACGTTGGAACAAAATGCACCTCCAATATTTATGTCCCACGCATGTTTGAAATTCACTCACCACCATCATCATCAGCCATGATATATCCACTGCTGGATGTTATCTCCCTCGCCTTGTATCTTGCAACCGTCCCCCGACTCGACATTCACTCCAGAGTCCTGATCACACCCTTGCTTTCAGACCGCCGTCGATTTATTCCGACAGAAAATGCAAACCTTTACCGCTCTCACTCCACCTATTTGACTTTGTAGTCGATCCGGGGATGTGGTTAATTGCAACATTCGTTACGACGGGACATCAACAATGCTTTTTTGTTCGTTTGTTTGTTAACGAGTCCGCCTTAATCAACAACAAAAAGCGTCTGTGTCCTACAGCCCGCCGATTTGCTGTCGATGCATGATAAGTGGATTGGTGCCGTATATGGACATCATCCCGATGCGCATCTGTGGTAGCCCCATGCTGTTCTCGGCACCACAGGTTGTTGCGCTGCACTTCTATGTTCCCCATTACCACGGTCGCAGTGTCTCCCATCGCTTTCGCCACATGACTCCCCTCCACTGCCTCCCAAAGCTCAGTCATGCTCCCTTCTTTAATGGACACCTACACTTACACACAACGTGTACCTCCATAATAGTTTTTTTGTTGGTGTACCTGTTTGACCATTCCACTCCTGAAGAAGGGCCGCCCCACTCCTTGCGGTCCGTGGGGGATATTGTGACCATATTCTTAGGTTTTTTTCGGTAAAGTCACGTACGTAAAAAATTAAAACTAATAAAAGTAAAATAAAATTAAAATAAAATAAAAATCACGACGTTTCGGAGGCAACACAAGCTTCCATCTTCGTAAATTTTTATTTTATTTTTTATTTTACTTTTATTAATTGTAACTTTTTTACCTACGTGACTTTACCGAAAAAACCTAAGAATATGAATCCTTGCAGTCACGAAAGCTTCAAATCTATAATTGTGACCATACTTCACCACGCCGGCCGGTGCGGGCTGGTGAAGGTAGCCAGAGTACAGCAGAAGCAGCCACTGGGAGCTATACACTTTTAAATCTGAATTGAAAACTCATTTCTTTAGAGCTGCGTTTTGAGTTTAGTTTGTTGTCCTACCCCCGCACCTCCAATTAGTGCGGTTGGCTACGTACGGCACGAAAGAAGTTCAACATCCTGTAAATACAGCAATGGATTTGGCTGCACTGCCCTCGACTTGCCCACAACCCACTTACTGTCCCCGTCCTTTCGCGTGAGGTGCCCACCGATCCAAACACTGTCCAGGCTCATGCCTCTATAGCTTTAGCTGCAAAGCATTCGACGAGATTGTGCGCGCAATTATGGGCGATTAGCTCACGCTTATCGTTCGCGTTGCATCGGTGTCGCATTCCTTGATCGCGATTGGGGGAATGCGATTATGTTGAGCGGCGTGAGAACGTAACGGCGTTGAGAAGTTGTTTAGTGGTGCAGTCACTGCCGGATTCTCCTGGTAGCAACAGCAGCTACACATGCTACGGGCCCCGCACTTTCAAGGGCTAAATGCTTTCAAGCTGTCAATTCCGGTTCGGTGATTCTGCACTTGCTCTATTACTATAGTACTATACCGCCTTCACTTTGATGAACGACTGGGTGTTTAAGGTAAGCGATTTGGCGTATTGTCTGGCTGTATAGTAAATGAAAAAATGCAATTACTTTGCTATGCAAGTAAAAAATGTGTTTTAATATTTACGTGTTTTTGGTTGTATTTAGGGCCCCTTTAGAACATATGCTACAGGCCCCGCACTGAGCTTCATCTGGCACTGGGTGCAGTGTGAGAGCTGGTTTTGACCTTCTGGGTCGCATCATTTGCAAATGGTGGCAAGATGTGAACTACCTCGCCTGGTATACAGGAGGTCGTGGGTTTGATCCCAACGAAGTGGCTTATCATGTGGAAAATTATAGCAGCCAAATACTCTATGAGACCTCCTTTACCAGTAGCAAAATATAGTAATAGGTTTTTACCCTTTTATCTGGTACAAAAACTGACACCTTTTTACAAGGGATCATGTTTGCAATAACCACAACACAAGCAGTCAAAATGACGTCACTCCACATCGACCATCCCCGCTCATTAATATTCATGAGCAGGTGACGTCCCCCAAATGGACACCCCCCCCCCATTAATAATAATTAGCGGGTGACGTCACTCCACATGGGGGGGAGGGGCGAGGCGCCTCCTCCCCCCTCCTCGGCGTCAACTCACAACCCTCACCACAAAGGCAGAACCCTCACGTCACGTGATCTCCGTGACGCTGTTGAGACATGAAAGTAAAAAGGACGTCATGATGAACAAGGGATTATAACATTAAAATAAAATAAGTCTGTGTCACCACGGCCTTACAAATTGCACACGCATTGATGCAATGAATATCACGTCGCGGTCTGCTTTCCGCTTGCAAGTTTCAGATTTTACTGCAATACACCCGTCCTTGGACGGGAAAAAGGCTATTTTAAAATAAGAAAACTGCATCAAACGACTTTTGTCAAAAGCTGCATGTGTACAGCGTTGAGAGCGGTCCACGTGTGTGTGTGTGCGTGCTTATATGTGTGTATGTGCGTTTGTGTTTGCGTGTGCGTGCTATTGCGTAAACATCGCCACTGGGGAGACAAAGGTGGTCGGGCGTGGTGCTGGCCACCCACCCCGTCGTGCATCAGAGTGGCAGCCTTCATAGGTGCTCGCTAACAGCACTTGCCCATACAGTCTGTTACAGGCTATACGGGCAATCTTTGTCTTGTCTTGTATACATATGGGAAGTGGTGGTGCAGCGGTTAGCGCGCTGCGCTACGAACCCGGCAGCCCAAGTTCGATCCCCGCTCACGACCAACACCAGTGACTGAATGATTGTATGTTTGTATGTTGAACTTCTTTCGCACCGTACATATAGCCAACCGTGCTAATCAGAGGTGCGGAGGAAGAACAACAAACTAGAGACAAAAAGCAGTTTCCAAAGAAATTAGTTTTCAATAGACTTCTAAAGTGCATAGTTACAGTGGCTTCCTAATATTGGAAGGAAGAGCATTGCGGACGATGATCGATTGACAGATTAATCAATTGACTAATTGACAGACCAGTTGAATGTTCGACTCTTTGCCTACATGACCAATTACGTAGACAGACTGAACAAATGACGGATTGACACTAGCACGCACGAATTTTATCCTTGCGCATGATGATGATGACGACGACGACAGCAGTAGGAGCTGAATGCCAAAGTCGAGGTCTGCTCGTCAGCAAGGAGCGAGCTCGTGTAGCTTTGGCATTCCTCCGTAGAAGGAGCAAGCAGACCGCAGGTGATTGACCGCTGACTTTACTCATTCACTGACCGAACAACGATCGGCCGATTGAATCGTTGCGGCAATGCGCTCTGCCCGGCCAGGCGTGGTTTTCCACTACCGGGGCCCGGGCAGCCGCTACAGCCTCACGTTCGAGGCCGCGCGCGCCGCGTGCCGGGACATCGACGCCCACATCGTCACCCCCGAGCAGCTGCAGGCGGCCTTCGAGGATGGGCTGGACCAGTGCGACGCGGGATGGGTGTCTGACCAGAGCGTTCGGTGAGTTTGCGTCGCCGCGATTTGCTCCAGCCACGTAACAAAAGCTCTCCCATCCAGCTACCCAGCCGCTCCCACTCGAAAGCCCCCAATGCTGCTTTTTGCACTATATTAGAAAAACAATTTTGCTGGCTGGCTGGCACGCAGGTGGACAAGGTGCGCGGTGGAGAGCCGCTGAGGCGACGCCCCCCCCTCCCACACCCCTCCACAAAGACCCTGAATATTCTTGTCTCATTCATATTTGTCATAGAAAATGCATTGCATGTAATTGCATTGACGTAAGGCCCTTTTTTTCTTTCAACTCATTACATTTTCACACGCCGCAGTATTAACCAGGGCAACCGCCAGGCTCAAACCGCACACCTCTTACGATAACCAACAGGTTTTCTCCGAGCCTGACCTCGCGCCGATATCCCCCCCCCTCTCCCCCAACCTACCCCCAAGGTACCCGATCGTGCATCCCAGACGTAAATGCGATGGCGACAAGATCCACGATCCTGGAGTGCGAAATTACGGCGTGAAGAGCCCCAATGAGATGTTCGACGTGTACTGCTACGTGGAGGAGCTCCGAGGTGAGCAACGTGTCCCGCTCACTCGCTTCGCGGTGGACGGTCACTCCTCAAGCGCTTGTTTCAGTGTTTAAAACAAAGGCTTCGAGACAGAATTTAAAAAAAACTACATTTTTCGATTGCCTGCCAGGCCAGATTAGGTATACAACAATCCCGCTACAGGTCAGATGCGATTGTTTGGAGAAAGCATATCCATGGCATTATTACTCTGGCTACCTCAACGAACCTACCACTGAGCTATGTAGCTCTATTTCAGAAGCGACCTGGCCACCAATGATAGCCCAATGAAAGTGGCTTGTAGTGTGGAAATGTGTAGCAGCCAAATACTCTTTGGTTTTTTCATTAAAGTCACGTAGGTAAAAAAAAAAAAGTAAATAAATGAAAACTAAATTTAATGACGACGTTTCGGGCACAACACAAGCGTCCGTCATCAGGTGGGAAAGCATGGCCTACTGCTGATGCAGACTGATTTAAAAGTTTGAAATTGGTGTAGCCCAAGGGTTATAAAGGAGTGGTTGGGTCTAGTGATGTTAATGTGAGAAATTAGCATGTAACTGGGTACGGAAGTGGCTATGTTAATGTGAGAGATTAGTATGATGTTAAAGTGAGAAAATTAGCATGTAACTGGGCACGGAAGTAGCTATGATAATGTGAGAGATTAGCATGATGTTAAAGTGAGACATTTGGTTGACAGTGAATCAGCAGTGGAGGCTGTCATGTTGTCAACACAGTCCCAATCGAAAGGGGACATTTTTTGTGTTAACATTAAATGTGATTGTAAGAGAATATTGTCTAAATTATCGAGTTCAAATCGGAATAATCTTATTCTCTCTGAGATTCGTGATAGGCTAGCTTTAAACAGAATCCGTTTAGCGTTCGGTGAAGACACAGCAGCAGATGTGAGTGTGAAAGCGATGAATATTACCTTGTTGTCGCGGCATCTCTTGAGGAAGGTTAGCGTCTCGATAAGCTGCGACTTTCTTAACGTGGAGGAAAGAACCGGAGGACCCGCCAAAAAAATCCACACAACCACAGGGAGAGCATGCAAACTCCAAATATACAGCAGGCGTCAGGGTCGGGATCGAACCCACGACCTCCTGCTAACCAGGCGAGGTAGTTAACATCTCCTAGCCACCGTGATGATGATGATGAGAGACACGCAAACTCCAAATGTACAGCAGGCGTCAGGTCCGGGATCGAACCCACGACCTCCTGCGTACCAGGCGAGGTAGTTAACATCTCCTAGCCACCGTGATGATGATGATGATGAGAGACACGCAAACTCCAAATGTACAGCAGGTGTCAGTATCGGGATCGAACCCACAACCTCCTGCATACTAGGCGAGGTAGTTAACATCTCCTGGCCACCGTGATGATGATGATGATGATGAGAGACACGCAAACTCCAAATATACAGCAGGCGTCAGGTCCGGGATCAAACCCACGACCTCCTGCATACCAGGTGAGGTATTTAATATCTCGCCACCGTGGCACCCCACTGTATTTAACAATCTATTAACGTTAAATACAGTGGGGGGGGGGGGTGAAAAGCTGTGGCCCTGCCAACCCGCACGCGACATCATCTTCAGCGGTCGCCTATCTCTCCGTTGACCTCTGCCCCTTCGCCCCCCCCCCCCCCCGCGCTCGCGTTGTCACCCACCCAGGCGAGGTGTTCCATGCGTCGGCGATCAGACGCCTGACCCTGAGCGGCGCCCGCGACCACTGCGAGACGCTGGGCGCCACGCTGGCGTCGCCGGGACAGCTGTTTGGTGCATGGCGCCTGGCAGGGTTGGACCGCTGCGACCCGGGCTGGCTGGCCGATGGGAGCGTGCGCTACCCGATCGTGCGGCCTCGCACCAACTGCGGCGGGCCGGCCGCCGGTGTACGCACCGTCTACAGGGACAAGGACCGCACGGGGTTCCCGGGGCCCGAGCAGCGCTACGACGCCTACTGCTTCCGCGGTGCGGCGCCGCGACGAACTCTGTGACAAACCCGCCGATAAAAATGTATATCGTGAAAAGTAATAATCATTGAATTTCGAGTTAAAGCTTTCGTGACTGCATTTCCCATAAATATGCTAAATTCATCATGATATGCAAATTATTTTGTCAGGGCGCTCTTCCCCCTCCAACCCAGCTTAAATATACGCTCCAAGCCTGGGGTGTTTCATTCAGACGCTGTCTTCCCGACAGACCTGTTCTTCACCTGAGGACGGCTGCTTGCGTTGTGGCTGAAACGTCGTGAGAATTATTTTATTATGTTTTATTTTTTCTATTTTATTATTTCCCTTCTACGTGACTTTTCCGAAAGAACCAAGAAGATAATAATAATTGCTTACATGCCCAGGAAAGCCACGATGAGTGTGAAGATTCAGCGTGCCCCTGCTGCATTTGGATGTTTGGGCAACACCAATGACATTTACACTTTGAGACATCTCCTTTACTTACCAGTGGCAAAATATAGTGATAGGTTTTTACCCTTTCAACTGGTACAAAAACTGACACCTTTATACAAGGCATCATGTTTGCAATAACCACAACACAAGCAGTGGGGTGGCACGAACCCAGTTTTGTAGATTACTCTCTCCATAGTATAATCACAGTGCCATCCAGTCAGATATAACCCCTTATTTAGCCCTATTGAAATACATTTTTGACATATTTTTTTCAAAGCGTTGTAATTTTTATTACAATTATACTAATTGTGGAAAGAATTGTCACGTAATAAGAATTTTTTACAAATGTTGGCAGCATAATTGCACTTCAAATCAGAAGATGACAGTGGAATGCGAAATTATATAATTACTTCTGATGTTATTTCAAACTGTGTCTTATCCACACTCAGCGGCGCATCTTTTTACATATTTCCAAGTTTTTATTGTGGCAATCAAACCAAGATTTGCATTTCTGAAATACGAAGCAAGATCAAGTGATGAGCCACATTTAATTTGATGGGTTTGGTGGTGTAATCACTTGGCGATGTGGGCTCAGACTATCAGATCACTCTACCTGAAATTACTTTTTTATTTCAGGCAGCTGAAACCCAGATTCATACGCAGGGTCTCAGTGATGACAGCTCACTGCTTTGACACATCATCGCAGCCCGAATATCCTTATTCTATTTTTCTCTTTTACTGGCCACTTCATGTTACAAGTTTAAGGCCTTTGTACAGCAACTGCAAATTTGACAGCAATTTTATTACAAACTGTGCAATTGGAGTCTTAAGTATCCAAATGGTCTTTCTTCAATAACATACCAAACTGCATCATAGCTACCTAGGATGCAATGCATCAGCAACTTATATTCTTTGGGTCTTTCGGTAAAGTCACGTAGATAGGTAAAAGAAAAAACTACGACGTTTCGATCGCAACACAAGCAGTCATCATCAGGTGGAGAAAAAAGAGGGGTTAGCCGAGCGTAGCCCAAGTGTCATCAGCATGGGCGGAGGAACTTGTGTTAATTTGTGGGATTAAAAACGGTGGGCCTCCGCATGTAGGGCAGATAAGGTTACGTTAATGTGAGGGGTTAAAAAACTGGTGAGCAACGGACAGTGCTAAAATGGAAACATTACAGCCAGTTATGACTTAAACTAGTTGATAACGTCCTTCCAGTGATTGCTGAGTTTGTACCCATCCTCTCGGTTGAAATTGTGTCTGTATATATGGATGGCTTCATGAACGAATCTTTGTTGATAGCCAGTGGGTTTGCAAAGTACCTTCGTCTTAGAGAAATAAATTTCGTGCGAGCCACCCGCATTAAAATAATGATCCGCCACGGCCGAGGTATTGGTCCTACCGTGTTTTAGATCTGCCTTGTGTTCACGAACACGGTCCAAGACATGTCGCTTTGTTTCCCCAATGTAACTACTGCCGCAGACACAGCTTCTCCGCCCTACATGAGGAGGCCCATCGTTTTTAATCCCTCACATTAACATAAGCTCCTCTGCCCATGCTGCTGACACCTTTATAAACAGTTTGCCTTTAGAGGCTAACCCCTCCTTTTTCTCCACCTGATGACGACTGCTTGTGTTGCAATCGAAACGTCGTAGTTTTTTAGAAATTTCTTTTTTTAACCTATCTACGTGACTTTACCGAGAGACACAAAGAATATTAATTCCTCCAGTCACGAAAGCTTTAAGTCAAGATTCATCAGCAACTTTTCACGATTTTACTTTAAACAAGACTATGCATATTTTTTCGGTAAATTTTGAAGCAGTCGTCTATTACTAAATATCTACGAATGGGTAACTGTTCAAAGACCACTTTAGGACTGTTCATCTAAAGAAGGAACATGCAAAACCATGGCCACAGCACTGACGCGCTCTCCGCCGATCTTTCTTGCATGTGCAGATCACCAGACCGAGGGCAGCAGCATTTTCGGTGACACAGCGGCGGCACTGCCGCGAGAGGAGATGACGATGTCGCTGGAGTTCGTTCCGGGCAGGGATTCTGGCTTGGAGCTCCGTCCAGCGACCTACCAACCCCAGCAGCACCGGCAGTACCTCACCGAGCAGCGCAGCCAGTTCGTCCCATCGGATGCCACGGGGGGCAGCATCCCATTCTTCCACAGCGTCCAACAACCGCAGGGCAGCAGAAGTTCTTGGGGCCCCGGCGAGGATTCCGAGAACGCGACAGCGCGACAGGTTCACGGCGCCCCCTCTGAGCGACACGCATTTGGGGTTGGCGCAGATGTCACCTTGGCAGGCCACGCGGAGGGGAAGCTGGAGAGCTCCCAAGATGGACCGTCGGACGGGCAAGTGATGAAGGTGGAGCGAGTGGTGTATGCGCCACACAGGAGGGTATTCCAGCCTGGAGCGACGGCGGCAGGGAGAGGTGGGGCGCACACATTTGCGCCGGGACGTCAGAGCGACGCGCGCGGTGCGCACCTTGTGTACGTGGAGACGGAGAAGCACGTGACTCACAAAGGCGTCGTGGTGCCGCGCCCCGCAGATTCCGAGACCAAAGCCGGGGCTGCCCACGGACAACGGGGCACGTTTCACGCGCCGGGCGGAGAGACGTCTCATGTTTTGCATGGACAAACGGATTCGACTCGGGAAGAAGCAGGAGCTCATGAAGTTCGCGAAGACACCAATTTGTCCACTGTAGCTCACAGCGAGGTTGATGACTCTCAGATTGCGGAAGGAGAGGCTGAAGGGTCTCACTTTGCTGTCATGAGCGGAGAAGATTCTCACGTTGAACGCAGTGGCACTGATGCTCCCGCTGACATTGAGGGAGAAATTGACGTGGCCCAGGTCCCTCATGGTGAAACTGATGAATCTCACATGACTGAAGGAGATGTTGAAACATCTCACATTTCTGGAGAAGAATCACACTTTTCACAAAGTGGGGCTGACATTCATTCGGAAATTCACGAAGAAACTGATCAGTCGAATGTCCCTCATGGTCAAACTGATGAATCTCACATGACTGAAGGAGATGTTGAAACATCTCACATTTCTGGAGAAGAATCACACTTTTCACAAAGTGGGGCTGACATTCATTCGGAAATTCACGAAGAAACTGATCAGTCGAATGTCCCTCATGGTGAAACCGATGAATCTCACATGACTGAAGGAGATGTTGAAACATCTCACATTTCTGGAGAAGAATCACACTTTTCACAAAGTGGGACTGACATTCATTCGGAAATTCACGAAGAAACTGATCAGTCGAATGTCCCTCATGGTGAAACTGATGAATCTCACATGACTGAAGGAGATGTTGAAACATCTCACATTTCTGGAGAAGAATCACACTTTTCACAAAGTGGGGCTGACATTCTTTCGGAAATTCATGAAGAAACTGATCAGTCGAATGTCCCTCATGGTCAAACTGATGAATCTCACATGACTGAAGGAGACACCAAGACATCTCACATTTCTACTTCAAGTGGAGAAGGATATCACGTTTCACAAAGTGGGACTGAGATTGCTTCAGGAACTCATGAAGAAAAGGATTTGTTCCACGTCGCTCAAATTGAAACGGATGAATCTCACGTGACTGAAGGAGACACTGAAACACCTGACAAAGCTTTTACAAGTGGAGAAGAAGCTCATGTTGTGCAGAGTGAAACTGGAACTGCTGCTGAAATTCATGAAGATATTGATTTGTCCCAAGTCCCCGAGACTGTGATTGAAGATTCCCAAACTGTTGAAGGAGAGACTGATACATCGCATATTTCCTCGGAGAGTGGGGAGGAATCTGTCATACTGCACAGTGGGGCAGAAACTCCTCACGAGATACACGAAGACACTCACGTGCCCCAAGTGCCTCACAGCGGCATTGGTGAATCTAACGTTGATGACGGAAAGACTGAAATATCTCACATTGTTCATTCAAGCGGAGATGAATCTCAGAGTGGGACCGATGTTTCTTATGAAATCCATGAAGAAACAGATTCATCTCCGGTGCCTCACAGCGGACTTGAAACATTTCCCCTTTTGGAGGGACAGCCCGACACATCTCACACTGCCATTGTGAGTGGAGAAGAGGATTCTCATAATGATCAAAGCGGGGCTGATGTTCTTCTTGACATTCACAAAGACGTGCCAGCGTCCCAGGGTTCCGAGAGTGCCATCGAAGGGTCTCATGCTGCTGACGGTGAAATCGATACATCTTCCATCATCCCCCTGAGCGGAGAAGAATCGCCCGGATTATACAGTGGGACAGAGGGGCTTCATGAGACACACGAAGACGACCACGTGTCCCAGGTGGGTGACGGTGAAACAGATGAAGCTCATGTTACTGAAGAAAAGATGGAAACATTTCACGATGCTGTCGCGAGTGGAGAAGAATCAGAAATTTCACAGAGTGGAATTGTAACTCCTCATGAACTTCACGAAGAAGTCGATGTGCCACTCGTCCCTCATGGTGAAGTTGATGCTTCTCATATTGCTGGAGAAGACACTGAAACTACTGTTGTGAGTGGAGAAGAATCACAGAGTGGCACTGACATACCTCATGAAATTCATGAAAACTCCGACATATCCCACATCCTTCAAAGTGGGTTTGAAAAGTCTCAAACTGCTGAAGGCGATGTTAAAACATCTCGTGTGCCCGTCGCAAGCGGCGAGGAATCTCACATCATTGAAAGTGGAGTAGATGTTTCCCATGCTGTAGAAGATGAATTTGGTGTCCGTCACAGTGGAGTCGATGACTCTCAAGCTCCCGAAGAAGTTGACGCATCTCACATTGCTCATGCAACCGGAGAGGAATCTCAGATCGTTGAAAGTGGAGATGATGTTTCTCATGGAGTAGAAGGGGAATTCGGTATCCATCACAGTGGAGTCGATGACTCTCAAGCTCCCGAAGAAGTCGACACATCTCACATTGCTCTTGCAACCGGAGAGGAATCTCAGATCGTTGAAAGTGGAGATGATGTTTCTCATGGAGTAGAAGGGGAATTCGGTGTCCATCACAGTGGAGTCGATGAATCTCAATCTTCCGAAGAAGTCGACACATCTCACATTACATTAACAAGTGGAGAGGAATCTCAGATTACAGACAGTGGGATTGCTGTTCCGTCTGACATTCATGAAGACACCCTTGCACCCAAGGTCCCTCACAGTGGACTAGATGAATCTCCCATCGTTGACGGCGATACTGTAGTAGCAAGTGGAGAGGAATCTCAGATTACCGAGAGCGGCATCGGTGTTCCTTCTGACATTCATGAAGACACTCTCGGGCCCCAAGCTCCTCACGGGAGGGTAGATGAATCCCACATCGTTAAAGGACAGACGGAGACATCTCACATCGCCGTAGCAAGCGGAGAAGATTCTCACTTTACAGACAGTGGGTTTGGTGTTCCGTCTGACGTTCATGAAGACAGTCTAGCACCGCAAGTCCCTCACAGTGATGTAGATGCATTTCCCATCGTTGAAAGTGGAGTTGGTGTTTCTGCTGACATTCATGAAGACAGTCTAGCACCGCAAGTCCCTCACAGTGAGGCAGATGAATTTCCCATCGTTGAAAGTGGAGTTGGTGTTTCTGCTGACATTCATGAAGATAGTCTAGCACCGCAAGTCCCTCACAGTGATGTAGATGAATTTCCCATCGTTGAAAGTGGAGTTGGTGTTTCTGCTGACATTCATGAAGACAGTCTAGCACCGCAAGTCCCTCACAGTGATGCAGATGAATCTCCCATCGTTGAAAGTGGAGTTGGTGTTCCTTCTGACATTTATGAAGACAGTCTAGCACCGCAAGTCCCTCACAGTGATGTAGATGAATCTCCCATCGTTGAAAGTGGAGTTGGTGTTTCTGCTGACATTCATGAAGACAGTCTAGCACCGCAAGTCCCTCACAGTGATGTAGATGCATTTCCCATCGGTGAAAGTGGAGTTGGTGTTTCTGCTGACATTCATGAAGACAGTCTAGCACCGCAAGTCCCTCACAGTGATGCAGATGAATCTCCCATTGTTGAAAGTGGAGTTGGTGTTTCTGCTGACATTCATGAAGACAGTCTAGCACCGCAAGTCCCTCACAGTGATGTAGATGAATCTCCCATCGTTGAAAGTGGAGTTGGTGTTTCTGCTGCCATTCATGAAGACAGTCTGGCACCACAAGTCCCTCACAGTGATGTAGATGCATCTCAAGCTTCCGAAGAAGTCGACGCATCTCAAATTGCTCTTGCAACCGGAGAAGAATCTCAGATCGTTGAAAGTGGAGATGATGTTTCTCATGGAGTAGAAGGGGAATTCGGTGTCCATCACAGTGGAGTCGATGAATCTCAATCTTCCGAAGAAGTCGACACATCTCACATTACATTAACAAGTGGAGAGGAATCTCAGATTACAGACAGTGGGATTGCTGTTCCGTCTGACATTCATGAAGACACCCTTGCACCCAAGGTCCCTCACACTGGACTAGATGAATCTCCCATCGTTGACGGCGATACTGTAGTAGCAAGTGGAGAGGAATCTCAGATTACCGAGAGCGGCATCGGTGTCCCTTCTGACATTCATGAAGACACTCTCGGGCCCCAAGCTCCTCACGGGAGGGTAGATGAATCCCACATCGTTAAAGGACAGACGGAGACATCTCACATCGCCGTAGCAAGCGGAGAAGATTCTCACTTTACAGACAGTGGGTTTGGTGTTCCGTCTGACATTCATGAAGACAGTTTAGCACCCCAAGCCCCTCACAGTGGAGTAGATGATTCTCAAATCTCTGAAGAAGTTGACACATCTCACATTACATTAGGAAGTGGAGAAGAATCTTACATTACAGAGAGCGACATTGGTGTTTCTTCTCACATTCATGAAGAAAGTCTAGCACCGCAAGTCCCTCACAGTGGAGGAGATGAATCTCAAATCTCTGAAGAAGTTGACACATCTCACATTACATTAGCAAGTGGAGAGGAACCTCACATTACGGACAGTGGGTTTGGTGTCTCTTCTGACATTCATGAAGATAGTTTAGCACCGCAGGTCCCTCACAATGGAGTAGATGATTCTCACATTTCTGAAGAAGTTGACACATCTCACATTACATTAGCAAGTGGAGAGGAATCTCACATTACAAAGAGCGACATTGGTGTTTCTTCTGACATTCATGAAGACAGTCTAGCACCCCAAGCCCCTCACAGTGGAGGAGATGACTCTCACCTTTCTGAAGAAGTTGACACATCTCACATTCCATTAGCAAGTGGAGAGGAATCTTACATTACAGAGAGCGGCATTGGTGCTTCTTCTGAAATTCATGAAGACAGTCTAGCACCCAGAGCCCCTCACAGTGGAGTAGATGCATCTCACATGGTTAAAGGAGAGACGGGAACATCTCACGTTGCCATAGCAAGTGGAGAAGATTCTCACATTACAGAGAGTGGGTTTGGTGTCCCTTCTGACATTCATGAAGACGCTCTAGCACCCCAGGTCCCTTACAGCGGAGTAGATGAGTCTCACATGGCTGAAGGTGAAACTGTAGTGACGAGTGGAGAAGAATCTCGCGTTACCGACAGTGAATTTGGTGTTTCTTCTGAAAAGCGCGAAGACACTGATTTGCTCATAATTCCTCACGTTGCAATCGACGAATCCCAAACTGCTGAAGGGGAGTCCAGTTCTTCTCATATTGTAACGAGCGGCGAACATCGAGTGACTGCAGAAGAAGACTCTGACGCCCCTCAGAGTGGCTTCGATGCCCCGCTTGCGACTCACGAGGAGACCGACACGTCGCAGATTGCCCGTGCCGAAGACGCCGGTTCATCCCAGGTTATAATCTCGAGCGGCGAACCTCACCTTCTCGAGACGGACGAGTCGCAAATTGTACGAGGGGAAGTCGAGACGTCACAAAGCGCCATCGATGTCCCCGAGCTCACTCATGAGGAGGAAATACTGCCGGTCGCAGGCGAGGCCGACCATTCGGCCGAGGAGGCAGGAGGCTTTCCCCAGACGTCCATTGACATGGCCGCCCCACACCCGGAGGTTGCCCCGCTGCCCACAGACACCCCGTACGACGGCAGCGCAGCAGAGCCCGGTAGCTCCCTCGCCCCCGAACAATCCGGACTCCCCGAGTCCGAGGAATCGGAACACGAGACCGTATCCATCACTGTCGAAGTCCCAGAATCGTACGAGGAGCTCGGCGTGCCCGGAGAATCCGGGGTTCCGGAGCAAGATTTGTCGGCTGCTGAGGAAGTCTTGGAGTCGGTGCCGAGCCAGGAGAGCGGCATGGAGGCGTACCCAACGGAGCCGGGCTCGACGGCCGTCCTGGAACCGGAAGTGGGCGTGGGCTCGGGCGTTGCTGAGCCGGGAGGAGTCGTTGGCGCGACGGAGGAGGCACCAGAGGCGCCTGTGGTGCTGGGAGAGGGCGGGGAGAGTGGCGTTGGCGAGGGGCGAACGCCAGGCGGCGAGGACGACCTCTCTGGGGACTTCCTGCTCAAGTCGGGTCCTGGCTCACAGCTGCCCACTGACTTCACGGTGCCCGAGCAAAGCGGCATTGAAATCGGTGAGCGTTACTTGCCAACCCACACAACGGTGATTTATTTGTCTTGCACGTTTGTTTTACGCAGCCAAAATAATGGCAAGACGTTCATTTAACTCTTTTATTATTGAACTGATAAGCACACAACCCGTGGACTCAGTGGAGTACAGTATTCATTAGTTTGCGCTGAAGACAGTGATTAGAATCTTGATTTGATGCTTTTGTGACTGCAGGAATCCATACTCTTTGGTTCTTTCGGTAAAGTCACGTAGTTAGAAATAAAATAAAATATTTTATTAAAATTATTTTATTCGGTAAAGAGTACATTGATTATAATAAAATAATTTAGGCTTCCCCTTCCCCCGGATGTTACATTGTGAGGAGATATTTGTGGTAAGTTAATCCTTGTACAGAACGCCCAGTAGGGAAGCAATGGCTCATTGGTTAGGGCACTTTGCTGCGAACCCGATGGCCTGAGTCCGAATCTCGCTCACAACCAACATCATAATAAACATTTTTGGGTTTAGATCGCGTTATTTATAAATGTGTCGTAACCCTCCACCACCCAACACGGCCAAACAGTAAAACATGTGTCAGGTTCATAAAAGACAAATAAATATCTTCTTGGTTCTTTCGGTAAAGTCAAGTAGAAGGGAAGTAATAAAACAATAAAAATAAAACATAATAAAATAAAATAATTATTTTATTTTATTATGTTTTATTTTTTATTATTATGTTTTATTTTTATTGTTTTATTACTTCCCTTCTACGTGACTTTACCGAAAGAACCAAGAAGATGAATCCCTGCAGTCACGAAAGCTTTAAATCGAAATTTAAAGACAAATAAATAGTTCACTACTTTAGTCCACCGGTGTGTTAAACTGACAACCAACATCGGTGACGAATCCCTAAGTCGGTCCTGGGCCTCCTTTAGGTCAACCCATCTTCAATGAATACTTGCTAGGGCGTGTAAACAATCAGCACTGGGGTCGACAAAGGCGGCCGTGTGTGCTCTGCTAGCCACACCACCCCCTTGTTCGCCGTGCCAGCCTGCGTGGGCTGCTTGCTAACAGCGGTCTTGTCCAAGGCTACACGGGGGGTCTTTGTCTTTGTCTCGCAAGTGCGAACCGCCACGAGCTCAGTTGCTGCAAGCTCCCTGCGTCTCCCGAAAGCGCGTGCGGTCATTCGAGTTCACGTCAACAAAACCCCGAATTCGTGACGTGTTCTACTGCTGTAGCCCCGTTCGCTTCACCTGGTGCTGGCAATGAAGAAATCAAGCGGCCCTTGCCTCAATTGAACTTGCTGCACAGAGCGTGTGTGCGTCTGTCTGTGTGTGTGTGCGTGTGTGGAGCGGCTTGCGTGCCCTGCTACGAACCCGGTGACCCAGTGACCCGAGTTCGTCTCCCGCTCACGGCCAACACCAGTGACGATTATCTTAACCGGTCCCGGGCCTCCCCTAGGTCGACTCAGCCTCAAATGAGTACCTGGTGCGGTGTGTAAACATTGCCACTAGGGAGACAAAGGCGGTCGGGCGTGGTGCTGGACACCCACCCCCTCGTGTACCGTTCCGGCCTTCATAGGTGCTCGCTAACAGCACTTGCCCCTACAGTCTGTGAAGGCTATATGGGGGATCTTTATCTTTGTGTGCGTGGAGCGGCTTGCGCTCTCTGCTACGAACCCGGTGACCCGAGTTCGTCTCCCGCTCACGGCCAACACCAGTGACGATGATTTGAACCGGTCCTGGGCCTCCCCTAGGTTCGACTCGGGGGGCTGGTTCACAGGCGCGTGTGTCTGCATTAGAGGAACTATCCTCCCCGTTTTGTTTGTGGGCTGTGCTCACCTTAATAGGTGCTCACGAACAGCACGTTCCCTCGGTCGTGCTCATGCGACGGCATAAAGAGCTTTCTTTGTGCGTGTCCAGACTCGAAAGGCATTAATTTATTCTTCGTGGCAGATAAATTGCCGGTCCGCCCTCACCAATGTAGCCCGGTCCAGTGAACTCGACATGATTACGTGGTGGGTTTGGCTGGGTCACACTGGAGACGAACAAGTCATCACCACCATTGGAACCTCCTTTGCCAGTAGCAAAATATGAGAATCCCTTTTATCTGGCAACAAAACTGACACCTTTTTTTTACAAGGAGTCATGTTTGCATTGACCACAATACCTGCAGTCGGAATGGCAACAAAAAAACTATTAAATAATTATCAAGTCATTCAAAAGTCAACTTAAGTTGATCTTCGGTATAGACATCAGTCGATTTGCTTTCTTAAACACACATCGCACATGCTCGGGAAAGGGGGATTAAAGTATCCTGCACACATTTATAAACCAACATGTGACTATCACACCTTGACACGGTATTGCGTCACTTATGACAGTTCCCATTGAGGGCGGCTGAAATGGATGGAGAGAGGCCTTCATTTGTGGGGCGAGAGCTCAGCTGCACATTTCAGTTCCGCTCCAGCCGGCCTTTATTTGCTCAGGTGAGAGAGACTGGGATTATCTCTTCTGCAAATAAACGGGGTTTTGTGAGCTTAGAGCGAGATGCTCGTCAATTCTTAGGTCACGAGTTCAAGTCCTGGTCGTGGGGGGTGGGTGGTTGACTCGGCCCATCATTTTTCTCGGAAGGTCAATAAAATAGGTACCACTTTGCGGTAAATTGTCCTGCGGATATAGACTCGCCCCCACCGCAGCAATGCGGGGGATTTCCTCCACTGGCTCAGAGCTGTAAACAGGAGATGAGAGCGCCAATGCCCTCAATAGTCGCTGAGCAGGAAGTCACTTTAGAGAGGACGATTGTCACATGCGGGCTCTGCGTTATGGCCCAGCGCACAATGGTCCCACTTATGCAAGAAACACTCACAAGCAAGCCATTGCCGCTTGCAGCACACACACACACACCCCCCCTGTCGGAATGAATGAACGCGGCACCGCGGTTGAAGTTGGAGAACTGGGGACTCATTCCAAACCGACTCACGAATGAGCGCGCCGACGGCTGAGCAGATAGAAAAAAAAAACTTTTACCTTTTATTTTAGCAGGTAAGGCCCACTGAGCTATATATATAGCTATTTATTTAGAAGCGACCTAGCTATCACAAATGATGGATTATCATTTGACATTTATAGCAATCAAATTACTCGAAGCGCAAGTTTCTGAATGGGGAGGGAAAAACCGAAGGACCCAGACAAAAATCCACGCGACCACGGGAAGAACACGCAAACTCCAAATATACAGGTGTCAGGGTCGGCTTCGAACTCTCGATCTCGTGCAGACCAGACGAGGAAGTTAACATTCTACGCCACCGCGATTGCAATTACATTTGATGACATTTTCGTAAAATAAACAAGTGCTCCATGAATTGAACAAAAACAAAAAAAACACAAATGACGTACTCCCCCTCAGAGGTACAATGTCGCATGGCGTCGCGCCTCAAGGTGAGCACCTGTGATTTTGTATCAACCCAGCCATTCAAACCCTTGGTGGATGTCGGGTGGAGATTTGTTGACAAGTCAGAGAGGGCCCAGCGGGAGGGGAGCTATTACAGGACGTTGCAGCGCCAAGGTGAAAGTGCTCCGGCCTGCGCCGCGTTCAAGCCAGACACGAACACGTTTCGTTTTCCACGTGATTTTATTTGCTGTTTTGCGGCGGAGTGTCACCTTGTAAGGTAACTGTGTGCCAACGCCTGCGAACAAAACATCCCTTTCACGCGCGGCTCACTGGGTTCGGTGATTTTCCACGCACACGAAGTCCCCGATCCCACCCTGGCCCCTTCGCTCGCACCAACTCCCCAATGCTGCCAGTGTCACGGGCTACTGCTTTCTTTATTTATTTGAAACGGGAGAAGAGGCCGCCTTCATAGTGCGTGCGTACCCACCAGCAGAGCCGTTGCGTATCTCTAACCGGCGCTCATAATCGGCCCGTTTGAGTAGAGGGAATTACGTAAAAACAAATGTCTGCGGTGGGCCACGTTCACCCGGGTGGCGTTGGCATCGGCGCTCGCCATCTGTGCCCTCCAGGCGAACAGACGTGGCTTGTCGCGCGTGTGCGGTGGTGCAAGCTGGAGGCGCGTGCGTGGAGGCACGCGCGTGCGCGCACACTTACACGAGCACAAAGACACACACAGATCTCCCACTGAGAGCCTGAGGCTATCGGATAAAGTGCTGTCAAATTAAGCATTGTCTCCCTTGCTCAAATCACCATCAGCTTGTGCCAATCCTCTCTTGGTGGCCTTGAGCCAATGGTGTAAATTCCACATTTCTATGGCAGGCGCTGTAGAAATCAGACGAGCACAATTGACTTTCCAAGGGCAGCATTCACTTTATCGATGCCCGAAAGATAGCGGGCCGAGTGCTGTTGGCGATCACCTAATCCACTAGCATCGCGCAAAAGGGTGGATGTTGTGGTCAGCATCGTGTCTGACGACTCTTGTCTCCCTATTGCTGATTGGTGCTGACACATTACCGCTGCGGGAAGTCACTTGAGGCTGAGTCATCCTCAGGGAGATCCACGCCACGTGCATTTAGCCCTTGCTACTGGTGGCGGGCGCGTCCAGGAATCGTTACCCAGCTTCCCCGGATTGTGACGCGGAACCCAAAGCAGCACACCGCTGCGTCCCATCCACGCTCGCGTGCAAACGCTTTACAAAATAAACGTTCTGGGATTAAACGCGTACGTGAAATCTCAAGAAGGGATCCATTCATGTGGCGTGTTATTGTTTCCTGCCGAATCGAACCTTGCCGACACGTGTCAGAGAGTATATTTTTACTCGCCACCTGTCTTCCAGAATTCCAAGTTGTATTTTGAGTGGGGGGGAAAAAATGTCATATTGAACGCCTCGACAGGATATCAACTTTGGCAACTACATTCGCCCAGTTCTCACTACGTGGCCTTTCTGGGAATAATTTCGATCGCTGCGTGTTTTTGCAAGGGCGTGTTTTGTCTAGGACGTTGATGGCTTCTCAAAGTCTAGTGGCATGCGTCCATTCACACGATCGGTCTGACGACCATATGGAGCCATTGGAGAGGAATTGCAAATCCTGGGATCGTTGTATTTTGGAAATGTTGTCTCAAACTACGTCAATGCCAAGACAAACCTTTTTTTTAGCATAATGCAGCGCTGTATGCATTTTAAGTATTAATCACAGGAGATTTGAACATTCTGCCATACTCCCCACAGATGTGCTCCAAATTTTCCCAATTTTTTTCTCAATTGGAGACCGATCAGAGCTGCCATTGGAGGACGCTGATCTTGTTTATTTTTTTGCTGATTTTTTATTTTGTCCTCAGAGCACATCTCAAACATTCAGGAGGTGCACCCTTTCGGGCCTGGTTTTATTTTTAAAGGTGTAAGTTTGTACCTTTGTCATCAATTTTCTAAGCCTTTGTAATAAAATAAAACCACTTATTTGAGCACAAGAGTAACAATTGAACTTGTTAAATGACAGCAAATTCCGGCCTTTGCATCGCAGAGCTACCGAGAAGTGACATCGCAGACCTATGGCCAACGTCCATCAAGGGGTCGGTCCTACACAGCCACTCGACTTTGCAGCAGTTCGCTCGATACCCACCTGTTGACCGAACACGCTATTGTCTCTGGCTCTATTGTCTCTTGTTCTATTGTCTCTTGCTCTATTATCTCTTGCTTCATTGTCTCCTGCTCCATTGTATCTTGCTCCATTGTCGCTTGCTCTATTGTCTCTTGCTCTATTGTCTCTTGCACTATTGTCTCTTGCTCCGTTGTCTCTTGCTCCATTGTCTCTTGCTTCATTGTCTCTTGCTCCATTGTCTCTTGCTCTATTGTCTCTTGCTCTAGTGTCTCTTGCTCTATTGTCTCTTGCTCTATTGTCTCTTGCTCTATTGTCTCTTGTTCTTGGCCTGGTCGCCAGGCTGAGAACATCGACTCGCTACACTTGAGAACCATCGTAATGGTCTGGGAAGAACCCAGGGTTGAGACCCATGGTATCCATTCGCAATTCGTTCAGAGATATTAGTTACACCTGACTTTCAGTCAGCCAGGTTACTTCATTTACTGCATTTATCATTATTATCATCAGCCAAGGTCAATCCACTGCTAGACAAAGGCCTCCCCAAGCCACCACCACCGCCGGTTAACAAACTTCAGATTGTAATGTTGTTACCTCGGGCAAGTGGCTCGTGAAGGCAAACAATACGACTGTCTGTGGACACATTAATGATTAAGTGTCCTTGCAGAGAATTTTAATCACAAGATAAAACATGTAGATGTAAAGTATGATATGGGGAAGACATATATGGCGAGGAGACATGATAACCTTTGCTGCTGATAAGACGCACTGCTAGAAAGCCGTGCGGCCGATAAGTTGCGTAAAAGGTAGTTTTGTTACTATGCGGAGAGAGAAATCTGGAAAGGAAGCGGTGTTTATCTCGTCCCTCTATTTGGTGGAGAAGAGTGGTAGCTTTCACGGCAGATATCTGTGTGTGTGCAAAGTAACCCAAACGTTGTTGTTGTTGTTGACAAACAGTGCCTTCTGAAGTGCATCAAGCAGTGTCGAAAGGGTAGCATTTTATTTGACTCGATAACTCTCCACAGAGAAATAACAAATAAGACTCCTTCCTTTATTTCAGCAGTTTGAAGGCACAGCAAAAAGAGGTCCCAAAATAAGTCTCAACACGTAATATTGATCACCCACTTTGATTCCATTGCAAACCACATTTTCTCATCCTAATACTATTTTTTTTTGCCGGTTAATACATTTACGCTTTGTTTCATTCGTGTTGCCCTCTACTGTATGTAGACCAGAGGTCACCTGAGTGAATCTCAGAGGCAGTTCTGTGATATCCACTTCCGTGGGCTGCGCTGCTCTGCGAGAGTTCAGATTGGGCCCTTCATCTCGTGACGCGACGCATGTAGCACAATCGGGTGTTAAAATTGGGGAGAAAATAGCAAAAGTGGGAAAAAAATTAATTTAAAAAAAGTTTATTTTATTAGGTTACAGAGCGGCTCTGTGTGCCGGTAGCAACTTTGTTTGATGACGCTGCAGCACCCGGCTAAAGCCGCCTTCCATTGCCTCCCCCCCCCCCCTCCTCCAACCAGAAGTGGCATTAATGCACCCACTATGGCTTTGCAACAATCTCTGGGCAGGCTTTGCCGTGGAAAAGCCAGCCAAAAATAATTCCATCGCTCACCTACTAAATGTTACACCGTCTTGATTTTCCTGGCCGATGCTCATTTTTGCGAGCTGTTCCGTTACGTTTTTTTTTACGGGTGGGTTGTTTTTTATGGAAAACGTCTGAATTAAACACGTGTTTGTTGTGTCAGGAGAGCCACGTGGCATTGCGGCAGGCGAAGGGATAAACGTTCTTCTTTGTGACACTCGGCCACCCAGGGACCGGCACCGTTCAAAACCCTCGCTTTACGCAACGCACAAGTCTCTGCCGAGAATAAAAAAAAACATAATATCCATCTTAAAAGAGCCACTGTACCCCTGCCGCTAAATTGGCAAGTAAAACATTATTTCAATGTCACGTCTGTCTCCATTAACTTTGCATCCCGACAAAATCTCACAGCGCTTGCTTTAATCACCCCGCGTGTGTGTGTGTGTGCTGTTAAGTGTTTATCACAGCAAATCGTGCCTTCTGTGTATTTACGCGGGATGTGTACAGCGGAGGGCATTGCGGTATCTTTTCTTAACATCTCTTGGCATTTAGCGAGGTTGGGGGCCTGACCGTATCCTTCACCGATGTCTGTGTGTGCGGTGTCTCTGTCTGTCCATCGCTGCGTCTTTCAGCTGAGACGACCTCCGTCCAGTGGTTAATCAGATTATGGTCTTCCCCTAGCACTAACCAGTGTTCCCTCCATCACCCCGTCCGTTACAGCCAGTCACCATTCGTCCTGGTTGCCCGTCTGAAGCACTGCGGCTGCCTGCACTTGACCTGACTTCGTAGCAGAGGTCGCAAACGGGTTTTGATTTCTTACCCGTACCCATACCCGGCTGCACCAAGGTCGCAAACGGTTACCCGTACCCGTACCCGGCCATACCCGTACCTTACCCTTACCCGGCCGGGTACGGGTAGGGTACGGATATCGGGTACCTGATTGTGACCTCTGGGATGAAGCCATGTTGCAGGCACGGGTGGGTTGATTCTAGGAACTTGAATTGTGAGAAGAGACAAGACGTTGGGAAATGAGTGACAAACGGTTACTCACCAGTGACTCACGGTCTACCCGTACCCGTACCCTGCCGGGTACGGGTATCGGGTACCCGGTTGCGACCTCTGCTTCGTAGCCTTGAGTGTCTGCCTACTGTTTGCAGATCTTCCTTCTTTTGTTGCACGCTTTTAATGAGAATCTTCAATAATGCTCTGGAAGGCTTTCGTCTCGAAGGCAGCGATTCCTCCTGTCTTCTGCTTTGCTGGTGCAAGAGTCCACATTTTTACATTCCCAAATGGCCTGCAATTAAATAGGAAAGTAATAATAGTAAGAACGGAACTACACTCCTCACATTGCCCCTTGCGAAAGAGGGATCAGTGGACCGGTGCGCCGTTAAACAAGTGACATCAGCCGGCATTATTCTGCAATCATTGTTGCTGCTTCCAAGATAATACCTGTTTGTGTTCAAAATACATACACTGTAAGGGGTACTTCTTCCCCTGTATTCTAAAGGCATAGTTGGGTGGGGGGGTGATGCATCTTATAATGCGGTCGCTGTGTGCGCGTGTGTTTTCTATTTTTATTGTAGCAGGTAAGACCCACCATAGCTTTATTTTCAAAAGTGACCTGGCCATCACAAGTGATAGCCCAAACGAAGGGAAATTTAGTGCAGCCGAATACTCAAAATGTGGAGGGAGAAACCGGAGGGCCCGGAGAAAAACCCACGCGACTATGGGGAGAGAGAGAGAGTGTGACATGCAAACTCCAAATGTACAGGTATCGTCAGGATCGGGATCGAACCCATGACCTCCTGTATACCAGGCGAGGTAGTCAACATATCCGGCGATAGGCACTAATTGTCACACACTAATTGGAACTAATTTTCACAGTCTGGGATTTCCCATGGACACACAAGAGCGGTCTGCTCTTGCGAATTACATCATGGGGGCCTTTCATTGTCCGCTGCACTGCAGATGGATCGCCTTGGCAATGTCCACAATAATTCAAACCATCACCCCCATGAACACCGGCTCAGTTTGTGTGTGTTTTTATGTTTTTATGCTTCCACTGCAGCTTTTGGCGGTGACAATGATAGATGCGGGTGTGAGCTTAAGAAAAGCCCCCGGCACTGTTTGTTCAGGACGGGTGTAACCGTACATTGGTTTAAGCAAAACACTAGGGCGCTTGTCCGTGGCTTTGCAGCCTCCTGCTCTGACTGCTCGGGACCACAGCGAGAGTTGCTCATGTGGCAGAGAGCCTCGCTGAGGCCGGCGTCTTTTAAGACAACAGAACAAAAATGCGGAGCGACGAGGAGGCCCGATGAGACACCGGGACGCCGCCGCCCGAATGCGGTTTCCGCCCGTCTGTCCGTGAGCTGAATAAATAAACGTCGCCGCACACGCTTCTTGCAACAAACGAACATCGCGTAAACTGTACAATACGCGACGATGGTGCGAGAAAGCAGTACATGAATACGTCTCATAATGGGCAACCAGTAAACATGGAACGTTGAGGCCCACGTTGGCCCAACAGTTACAACCGCGCGTGCCAACGTTGACCCGATGTCGCCGCGTAAAATCTTGCTAATTCCGCCGGTAAAACCCAAGACGTAATTCTGGCGCTTCTCTTCGGCAGGGCTTGCATCTGGCGAGGGGCCGCTGCCCGAGAGCGAGCACGCGTTGCCAACCGGCGAGGAAGGCCTGCCGTCAGGGGAGGGACCCAGCGACGTCCCGCCCGCTCCCCCCGGCCCCACGCTTCCGGGAGAGGGCCCCACCACCGAGGTGCCCGCCCGGCCGTCGTCCGAGCCCATGCCCGCGCTGCCGGACGAGGCGTCGGGCGCCGGCGAATTCGACCCGGAGTGGGTGGCACCGCCGTCGCTGACGCCCGGCGTCGAGTCCGTTCCGCCCGAGGAGGACGAGAGCGGAGAGCTCTACCCGGGCTCCGGGGAGGTCGTCCCGGTCGTCGCGACCACCGCCACCGCCGCCGGGTCGGGGACGGACGGAGACGAGGAAGGGGCGGAGCTCGTGCCGGTGGCGTCGGGAGACGACGACTTTGCGGAGTCTCTCGGTGAGACGGGCGTCATGAAGCAGGGCAGCGGCAGCACGGAGGGCCCCGTGGTGGAGGGGGAGGACTGGGGACTGGCGCAGAGCGGCCAGGAGAACGAGACCTTGGTGGAGGGCGCCCCACCGGTGGACGTCATTCCGTACGGAGAGGAGCACCTCGTACCGGGGATTTCGGACGAGCACCCGTTGACCTCGGCCGAAGGCTCAACCACCGAGGCGTCGTCCGGAATTGGATCGGGCGTCGCTTATGGAGAGGCCTCCACCGTGGGTGCGGTGCCTTCCGCTCTGCCGGAAATCCCGCCGGCGTTGGTTCCTGACGAGACGAGCGGCATCACCGTGGGGTCGACGCCAGATGAGCAGCAGCAGCAGGAGGAGGAGGAGGTCGTGTCGATCGTCGCACCACCGGTCGAAGGACTTCCGAGTCAGCTCAACGAGAGCTCCGCTGAGGGTCCAGAATCTGGATCCACTCCCGTTCCGGATGTCCCAGAATTACTCATCCCCGACCACAGCGCCGTGGAGCCCGGGCAGTTCCTCACCCCAGCACCCAGTCCCGAAGACGGCAGCGGCGTCGTTGTCTTCGCGACGGCGCCACCCTCCCCACCCGCGGAGACCGAGGTTGCCTCCGGCCTCGTTCCGGAGACGACCGTTGCACCCCTCGGCGTGACGGAGGGCAGCGTCGCCGAGGATCGCGACGGCGGCGGCGTCGATGGAGCGGAGGACGCCGTGGTGACGACGGAGAGAGCGGACGTGCAGCAGGAGCTGGGGCCGGAGGAGAGCTCTCCAGTGGTGGAGGAAGCCATCTCGGAGACTCTGAGAGGTTTGTGCAACCGCTGCATTTGTTGTTTCTAGTCTCCGGTGCCTTTGGTGACGTTTTTCACCAAGTACGAATTCGAATTATATATGAAATGGATGATTCATTCGATGATTATAATTCTCCACCGCTGCCAAGAGAAGCAGCGCCTAATCCCCCTGAATGTGGCCGAGATCTCACCAGCTCTCGGTAGCTAAGCAGGTTAGAGCCTGGGTGGTGCTTGTTTGAGTGACCACCATGCGATAGGCGTTGTGGGCAGTGCAGGGCAGTGCAGCCACCCCCCCCCCCTCACATTTACCAACCCGCACGGAGGCCCTCATCCAGCAGTGGACTGACAGAGGGCTACCCGTGTACGTGTAAAGAGTAAAGGCAAAGCCTGGATTTTTCGATTTAAAGCTTTCGTGACTGCAGGGATTCATCTTCTTGGTTCTTTCGGTAAAGTCACGTAGAAGGGAAGTAATAAAGTAATAAAAATAAAACATAATAAAATAATTCTCACGACGTTTCGGCCACAACGCAAGCAGCCGTCCTCAGGTGAAGAACAGGTCTGTCAGACGCTGTCTTTCCGACAGACCTGTTCTTCACCTGAGGACGGCTGCTTGCGTTGTGGCCGAAACGTCGTGAGAATTATTTTATGATGTTTTGATTTTTATTATTTTATTATTTCCCTTCTACGTGACAGGTCTGTCAGACGCTGTCTTTCCGACAGACCTGTTCTTCACCTGAGGACGGCTGCTTGCGTTGTGGCCGAAACGTCGTGAGAATTATTTTATGATGTTTTGATTTTTATTATTTTATTATTTCCCTTCTACGTGACTTTTCCGAAAGAACCAAGAAGATGAATGCACTGCCCTGAAATTAGTTGTTCACGCCGCCGCTGGTGAAAGGACCACCGCTAGAGCGAGCCTCTCGAGATTATATTTGGCCTACTCTTCCAAGCTGTCCAGACGTCCTGGAAGATGTGGCAGGACCCATCCTGAGCCTGACCACGGGTGAACCGCCGATCGCCGCCGAACTGCCGTGTACCCAACTGTATTTGGCTGCGAGAAATGTCCACGCGACAAGCCACTTCGTTAGGCTATCACTTTTGGCCAGGTCGCCTCTATAGCTCAAGTGGGCCTTACCTGATGAAATTACAAAAAGGTAAAATAGTACTGCTGACGTGCACACGCGCACTACTGAAATGGCGTGAGAAACTCGGGCAGTGTTTGTGCCTTCACCGTGTCTTCTGAACTCCTTGCCGCAGCCATGCAGGGCTCCTGCTCCGAGGTGCCGTGTCTGAACGGAGCTACATGCACGGACACGGACGGGGGACTCCACGTCTGCCACTGCGCGCTCGGCTACACGGGCGACACCTGCCAAATCGGTGCTTCCTCTCTCTCGAACTCACACTCATGGTCCAGATTTGAAGCTTTCGTGACTGCAAAGATTCATATTCTTAGGTTTTTTTCGGTAAAGTCACGTTTACCTACGTGACTTTACCGAAAAAACCTAAGAATACTCATGGTCCACCCTATACCGCATCCATTCTTCCCTCGGTTGACGTTAAACCGTTTCCCGCCTTTTCCATGCATAGCGCCCTGTGAACGATCGTTTAAGGGCGCTTTATACATTCACATTTGTTTTTAATGAGTTCATTTAGGGCCCCGCTATCGGGCAGCACTACCACTGGCTGAGCGGCTTCGTTGGATATGGCTATTGCGTCAGGGTGTCAGGGCACAGAGCCAGACCTGCCGAGATTTGGCATTCAAAGCCAGGCAGCCGCTTACAGATTAAGGCCGGTGATGGTCCCAGCCTGGTCCCCTATGATTGCACGCAAATCCCATCATGTAATCTGATTTGTATTTATTTGGCTCTGTCCAACCGTCCCCCTCTCCCCCCCCCAGTTCTGAGCTACGCGATGTATAATTTTATCAGGAGTGAGTACATGCGGTTTGAGCCAGCTGGATTTTTTCCCCCCAGAGCGCAGTGATGGAGCGCCACCTCGCGTGTGTTTTGCCGAGGGGAAGGGCGTCAGGTGGAACCCGCTGCCCAGAGTGCAACGCTGATCCAATCACAGATGCCCCACTGATTTCCAATGGCTGGCCCCTGGCTGGCCCTCGTGCGGGACGTGACGGGTTGCAGGAGAGACTCTAGATTTGAAGCTTTCGTGACTGCAAGGATTAATATTCTTGGGTTTTTTCGGTAAAGTCACGTAGGTAAATTTTTTTTAATTAAATAAATAAAAGTAAAATTAAATACTTATCTATTTTTTATTTTATTTTACTTTTATTAATTTTCATTTTTTTACCTACGTGACTTTACCGAAAAAACCCAAGAATATGCAGGAGAGACGTCTGTGAATCGGATTGGTTGAGGTGGAACAATCGGTCACCCCCCACCCGCTCCACCCCCCCCTCCCATTCAGCTGGCATAACCCCTGACAGATTCTCCACGTGTCACGTCCACTGTCATCGCACCTCGTTCCACCGATTCCCTCCCACCGCACCCTCGGGTGCCACCCTCTCTGCTCCCTCTGCCCTGTAACGAAGGCATCTCCGTAAGCCCTGCAGACACCGTCTTCCTCGCCTCTTATCAACACGTGCCCAAACCGTCGGGGGCACGCGCCTCCGTCGCCATTCTCGAGAACGAGGAGCCCTTCACGAAGGATCTGACCTCTACATTCCGCCTCCTTTCTCTCGGCGAGATTTTCCCAACCTCCATCTCAGCGTTGTCCCTCGTCTTTGGCATCTTTTTCAAGCACTCCCCGTCTCTCTCTCTTTCTCTCTCTCGTCTCCCTTCCTCAGTGCCCACAAACAAACACGTTGTTAAAGACTCAACGAAGAGGATCCGTGGGCTTGATCTTCCACGAAGCCCACTATCCACCCTAAATCGTAGTTGCACAAACCATGGGAGATGCAGACGCCTGATGCACACTTCGGCGTGTTCAGTGTGCGACCGTGGTCATCCAAAACAGAGTACAACGTAGAACGACGCAATGCCCCGATCGACAAATACGAAGGAGACGTCACAGCGATGCACCGCGCTACCCCTGACGCGCTTGTCTGGGCTTGACCACCTGCATTTGAAATTGTCGTCGTCGTTCTGCATCTAAGTCAGCAGCCGTACGAAAGAAGAAGTGTCCATGTGTGTGTGTCTCTCTCTCTGCATCACACGAGAGTCGCCGTCGTTAACGCGCGTCGTGCGCCGGTGGTGTGTGTTGCAGACATTGACGAGTGCCACTCCAGCCCGTGCCGGAACGGAGCCACGTGCGTGGATGGCATCCACTCCTTCTCCTGCCTGTGCCTGCCCAGCTACGGCGGCCCCCTGTGTGAGCTCGGTGAGTTTTGCTCAGTCGCATCGTTTAGCCGCGTTGTCGGTTGGGCAAAGAGGCCGATTTGTCAGTCCGATGTCCAAATGCGTCATCAGAGACTGCATTGAATGTGATCTCCCATCAACGGCCACTTTCAGGAATGCCTTAGGTCCCAAATGTGGTCTTACACACACACACGCAGATGCCAGACTCTAATAGACGCACCCTCCAACTTTGGCTTTCATGTACAGGGGGAAAAGTGTCACTTATAATCTGGAGAATACGGTGACAGTACAGGGAGCACTGATAATAATCACGCCCATTACATATCCAGGAAAGCCTCACTAAAGACCTGTTTCCGGAGGGAGGGGAGGTCTTGCATTGGATGTTGAGGGGGAGGGTAACCAGAATACAGTACCTGGAGAAACCCCACACATAAGAGGAGGTGACACTAAAAGCACCGCACAGATAGATTCAATAATTCATTGTTGTACCCCCATCATCATGTGCTAACCTCACAGCAGAAGCAAGCAACACCTGCTTTTTCCAAGCAGTGTCCCGTCACGTGCATTCAAGGTGATTACCGAATTTTACAAACAACGGAGTGGGGCGGAGGGCATGATTGTTATTTTTCACCGTGACCTTTTTGACGTGTGCACACCTGTCAACCCACACGGTTTACCCCGTATTCTTGTGCAGGAAAAATTGAGTTTTCAGGTCCATACGGCGTACAGCCCGTTTCGATACGGGCTAAATTGGTCTGTAATGAGGCAGGCACTGAAAAGTGTTTGACGGGCATACACGTGTGGCCGCGTGCCACCATCTCTGACCACCTCTTTGTCCCCTTCTCACCTCCCTCCTGCTGCTGCTGCTGCTGCCGCCACCGCCTGCGTCGCAGACACGCAACAGTGCGAGGTCGGGTGGCAGAAGTTCCAGGGACACTGCTACAACTTCTTCCCGCAACGGCGCAACTGGGAGGACGCGGAGCGCGACTGCCGACTGCACGGCTCTCACCTGGCCAGCATCCTGTCGTCGGAAGAGCAGCGATTCATAAACCGTGAGGGCCCTTTTTTGAGCTCCACGCAAAATGCAACGCGCGCCTCTGTGCGTACGAGCGTGTGTGGTTCTTTCGGTAAAGTCACGTAGAAGGGAAATAATAAAATAATAATAAAAATAATAAATTCTCACGACGTTTCGATTGCGACACAAGCTGTGGTTTTCACACCTGATGACGATTGCTTGTGTTGCAATCGAATCGTCGTGAGAATTTTATTGTTTTATTTTTATTATTTTCTCATTTCCCTTCTACGTGACTTTACCGAAAGAGCCAAGAATATGAATCCCTGCGGTCACGAAAGCTTTAAATCGAGACGCACACTCGTGCAAACACACGAGCACGCGCACGTGTCGACTCAAGTCGTGTCGCTGTTTCTGCCTGGCGCCGTGTCGAGACAGGGATGGCCCAGGACTACCAGTGGATCGGTCTCAACGACAAGATGTTTGAGCATGACTTCCGCTGGAGCGACGGACACACCCTGGTGGGTACAGCCATTGCAGTACAACATCACGCATCTGACCGTTGGACTGGTGCAGTATTTGTGCACGGTGCCGTGAGCCGGTATTGATATCAATTCTACATCCTTTACATTTTGTGGCGATTGTTTCACTGACAACGACGCTCATCTGACGTGGTGGACACCACGTGACACGGATGATCAGGAACGTAAAAGCAAGCCCTCTGATTGGCGCTTCACGGGCCTGGTGAGAGGCGGCGAGTTTGAGTTTATTGGTGGAGAAACACTAAATGGAAAGAACGGAAAATGGAGGATGATTGACAGGTAGGTTGGTTGGGATGCGTGAGAAAAAGTGGGACGGTGATTGGCTGGAGGGAAAGGGGGTCAAGGAACGTTCGAGAAAGCGGCACGAGAGATACATAAGTGGGGGGGGGGGGGAGAGACGTGAAATCTCGAGACGCTTGGAGCAAAGGGAATACTGGAAGACCTCTGTGTGTGTCCTGCCTAAGGAATCAAAGACTCCGATTTGTTGAAGCCCACTGTGTCGGGTGTCACTCCACATTATTCGAACCCGGCTAGCTCGGATCATAGCGTGGGGTGCTAACAGTACACGACAGTGTCACAGTGGAATTTACATATCCCACGATGTTATTCAAAGGATAGTGGGCCAATTGATGCGTGTCTCGATTATTGTTTAATCTGAAGGGGGAAAAAATCACTTACAGCCTAGTGCTGTGTACACCAATACCAACACTCGCCTTTCGCCACTCAGTGACGGTGACGTCACCACTACACCTGTGCCAGGCCAGGTGCACTTTGAGTCTACGTAAAGTGTCAAAGGCTCGCTGACAGGAGGTCATGAGACAGACCCAGGTGCCATGGGTTGGCTGAGTGAGGTGACTGGTAGATGCACCAGCTGTACCCCCTACTCTGCCAACTTGCTGCATTTTAGCCGCCCGGCACTCCGTTCATTGTTGTGAGCGTCGCTCCTCTGCCTTCAGTTGCATGGAGATACGATGCGATGTGAGGTGCTTTTACTTTTTAAGCCAGGTGCCCCTATGAATGCCAATTCATCATCCTATCCCCCCCCCCCCGCCACCATCCCTGTAAATTCAACAATTTGATTGAAAACGCATTTCGCAGCAATACGAAAACTGGAGGCCAGCTCAACCTGACAGCTTCTTCTTTGACGGCGAGGACTGCGTGGTGATGATCTGGCATGAGGACGGCCAGTGGAACGACGTCCCCTGCAACTACTACCTCCCCTACACGTGCAAGCGCGGAGCGGGTGAGAGTTCAAATCCAGAACGTGGTGGACCTTTTTCCCTTACCTTTTCCACTTTTGTGCATGAGCAGTATTACAATGCCACTTACATCTCTTAACGAATCGTTGTATGTATGCGTGCGCATGCACCGTGTGGAGCAGTGGTGCAGGAGCTAGCCTACTGCGCTACAAACCTGGAAACCGGAGTTTGATTCCCGCTCTCACCGTGCGTGTTGCGCGTGCGTGCGTGCCACCCTGGCAGTGTCTTGCGGGCCTCCGCCCATCGTGGAGAACGCCATGACGTTCGGGCGACTCAAAAGCCGCTACGAGATCAACGCCATCGTCCGCTACCACTGCCGCGAGGGCTTCATCCAGAGGCACTTCCCCGTCATCCGCTGCCACCCAGACGGGAAGTGGGACGAGCCGCGCATCACCTGCATCAACCGTGAGTCTTGGGCGAACCTCGCTTAAATACACTCTAAACTACTTTTTATTTTTACTGGGTAAGGGCCCACTGAGCTATGTAGCTCTTTTTCAGAAGCGACCTGGCCACAAATTATTGCTCAACGAAGTGGCTGATCGTGTGGAAATTTATAGCAGCTCTTAAACGCATGTTTATAAATGTGGACGGAAAAACCGGGGGACCCGGAGAAAAATCTTCGCGACCACGGCAAGGACACACAAACTCCAAAGCTCACATTGCCATCATCAATACAATTACTGTGTTCCACGGACTATAAGATTCACTTTTTCCCATGTATTTTTAAGTCAAAAGTTGCGTTGTGTCTTATAATCTGAAGAATGCATGTCTTCCAGTAGTTCATTAATGTATTACGTTTGTTCAGCCTTGATTGGGCAAAACCTTTAACAACAAAAATATTTAAACTTTAAATCTAATTAAGACGTGTTTTAATCTCCCAGAAGGACAGGAAAAGATAGAGAGAGGTCATCGTAGCCTTTTGTCCCATAGGGGATGAAGAGGAGTAAGTAAGTTAATCTGCCAGAACACATCTGGATCAGGCCCATTTAATAATGGCATCCACCACTTAGAGCACCATACAGAGGTGTGGGGAAGTATGTACGTTGAACTTCTGTCGCACCGTACGTAGCCAACCGTGCTGATTGGAGGCACTGTGACACGGCTGACTGTGACCGTGACACAAATTAAGCCTCACCCACTACTTCCAGTCCCACGGTAAATAGTGGGAGGAGATTTGAAACTTTTATTACCAACCATTTCCATGTTATCGGATTTGTAGAGTTATCGAACAAGATAATCACGAATCAATTCCTTAAATGATTGGATATCCCAGCTCTGAGTTGAACACTACATTTAAATGTGTACAGTGCTTTAACAAGTCACTTGAATGCAATTTGTCAGAATGTCTTCCCATGCTAATATTTGTTTTGTTTGCTTTTACAGCCGGAACTTACAATCGGATTCCACAAAGATATTCCCTCCAGTGAACCCCACTGAAGACTCCACACATTCCCACGGTGGCCACCCAGGAACGATCCAAACGTCGTACACCACGTCTCGCCCTTGAGCCGTTGGCCCGAAAATGGCTCATTGGTACCACCTAGGGGGGCAAATGCTACCAATGATTATTTTAAAGAATTTTAACATTACGTCACGAATATGTCTGATAGCAAGGTCACTGTGGTAGTTTTTTTTTTCGAAAAAGGTCATCGAAGAAGGTCACCGTGTTTAATTTGATGGAGAATATTGTTTCAGAAGGAAAATAACTGAATGTGAAATGAATCGTCGATGGAATATGAACATTAATAGAAAGTGTGTCTATAGAACAGAGAGTATGTGTGCTTAGCTTTCTGCCCATGGCGGATACTGGTAGCCTTTCCAACCCATGTGGTACCAACCAATCCCCTTTGAGCATCTACTATACACTGCCCAACTACAACAATGTAGAGTGACGCACTTTTTACATTGTTGACGTTCTACCTTCTACTCCTCCCACACCCCCATCCTACTTTAACCTTATTATTTTTACCATGCTCTTGGCCAAAGCTGAATTTTAAGTGTTTAATTCAGGGATGGATACGTAGAATAACGGTCAGCTGGCAAATTCTGTGGCTAGAAAGAGGGCAGAACAATGTTCGGTCACCCCCATCTGAAAAAATGGTTCGCTCCGTAGCACATTCCCTGTAAACTCATGCTTGCTTAGTTTGGACTGCGGGTCGGTCTATTGTTTTATAGGGGTGGTTTAGTTGTTGTGCCCTCACCGTCCAGATTTGCTCGGGGGAAGTGAAAGCCACGGTCGTCAGAACACTTGGGCAGCAAACAACGATGGGCAAAGCAGGCACGTATTTTTTTTTCTTGGTATTATTTGGAAACCAAACTAAATTATTTGCTTCGGGTTTTCTGGAACCACAAGGCAATTATAGCAATGAATTCTAACATGGAGGCCAGTGTGTGTACCCACAACTTAACAAAACGGTCTCTTTGTACTTCAAGCATTCAAGTACAGTTTAATTATTTCGTATAATACAGTATATTACTGTTATAAACAAATGACGTGTTATTTAGCGACCTGCAATATTGAATAACGTATTTAATTTGCAGCTGGGTGTGAAGGGCATGCGACCTGATTATTTTTTTCTATGCGGGACCATCGCGCTCTTCTGCGATTCAAAACCAGGCAATGCCCTCGTCGTTTTTGGTCTCATAATTGGGCCCTCACTCGACTCGACAAACGTCTGCGCCCCGTTACGTCCGTCCGTCCATCCGTCCGTCCGTCCGTCCGATGCGTTCACCTCCTCGGCGCGCCGCGATGAGGGAACCATGCTGCCAGACCTGCTAAAAGCTACCCACGTTGTTCTGATGCTTCACCAGACCAGTGTGTGTGTAAGTCTGCCTCTAGTCCACCTCATGTCTGTGTCACTGATTACCAGCATCCTCAAGGGCGATTGTTAAGTCTGGTGGCACACTGTCGCTCCGGCATCAGGTGATGGCAAACTACACTCTGTGTTTTTTGTTTTGTTTCTTGTTTTAAGCAAAGCAAGCTCGTGGTTTCGTTGATCAGCGTGATAACTGGATTGTGATAGTGACGCGTGACAATAACAAATCACACCAGGGTTTGGGCAATCACCATTACCTTCCATCTGGCAGACTGCATGATTATTTTAAATACGGCTCCATCTGACGGAGGACGCTCTGACAAGGCCACCTTTCCCGTTCGCAGTATTAAAGACGAACTGTTTGCTCGAAACTGGCATGACCCAGGAGGTTAGGGCCTATTCTTTGTGTTCAGACTGGAGCAAAAGGTTAGCTCTTGAACCTCATCTCCATGACCAACTTTCTGGTGGACTGGCACTAGCCTTGTGCATCTCCATGATCTCGTGAAGTTGTTCCGTGATATCATCATTATTATTAGGCTGGCCCTACCTAGTCCACCAGGTCTCATTTTAGATATAACTCCGGACAGCATCAATATGCTGATGACATTTGCTTACTAAGTTCAACATATTTGTCAACAAGGAGATGCCGAATTATAACACTTGCTTTGTTTTGAGAGCGTAATTTAGTCAACATTGTTTGTTATAAACAGACACAATTATTTAAAAGTATTGTTTTTTAATACACAATACTCTCTGACGCACACGCCCACTCATCCTTCCTATCCCATAAACTAGGCGAGTGCTGCACAGCAACATTGTGCCATCCCTGGGTGAGTGACTATACCACATGAGATGGGGAAAGGCAAAAGCAGAGCTGTCAAGTTGGGAGACGCCAAAGCCTAAGCCTGACCAGCAGTGGTTGTGAGATTGATTAGCGGTGGTGTGAGTTGCGGTTTGCGGGGAGGGGGATGGGGTTGTATTATCAAAGAGTGGGGGAAAATGGGAGCTGTTATTGCATTTGCAGGCTGTACCGTTATGCCGTTTACTACGAACTGGTCAAGGCTTCCCAGAGGTTTTTTACCTACGTGACTTTACCGAAAAAACCTAAGAGTATATTCCCAGAGGTTCCTGGAGGCCTGAGGCAGAAAGCCACGTGGGACCCGTTTATTCTTTGGCAATAAAACGACCCTGATGTGAGGCCCTCATTCCTACAACGCCCAGTGAAAACGGCTTCTTTTACCTCACCCCCCCACCCCCACACCTTTCTGGGTAGGTCTGGTATGGCCTGCAGTATAGTGAGAAACAGAGCAATTGCGTGAGACTTCCAAGCTCTAGAAAGGAATGGTGCCTGGGGCACGTCGTTTTCGCAATGCCACGCATTGCTGGGCTGGAGCTAATCCGGCTCAAAGCCACAACGCGCAGATCGCCTGACCACAGCGAGTTTTGTTTCATGGAGATGTAGGATTTGCTGCCTTACTCAGGCGATGTTTTGGGCACGATTGACATCTTTGTGAGCTATGAGGAATGCAGACCGTGACCCCGGCACTGACGTGGATTACAAACTTCGGCGAACACTCGTTTTGTGACGGCGCTACTGAAACAATATCCAATCCACGAGATGACTGGCTTGGCTCAGATATTTGTGTCAGCCATTTTGAAGATTCCAGGCCAGTCATTCAGAGTAGCATGGAATGTGTATCCTAAAAGAGACTTTTACCGATATATTTGTCCATCGCCATCTGGCAGGGTGTAAGCAATGCGAGGTGAGTGGAGGCAATCAAATGCACAGCTAAAGAAAATATCGACGATTGGAGGGTTAGATACATTCATGGAACAGACACATTTTAGGTGGCTCTAAAGTATATTATCCCAGACATCTTCCAGCGTGTCACTTAGCTGTTGGTAGGCTTTGCATTTTGATGGAGCAACTCTTCTGTTTGCAGCCGATGATCATGCCCTGGAATTGTATCAAATAGCCAGTGCGTTGCGACTAGAGCAATCGGAAATTGGAGAAAACCCAGCTTTGTCCATCATTCTCATCTCTATTCAACGGTGAGCAACCAATCTTGCCAATATCATGTCATTTGCCAGAGCGTCATGGCGCACACCCTTCACTGCAGCAGCAGGTGGCAATACTAGAATTTAATATAAATTCGCTGATAGGAGCTACCGTGCAGATTGAATACCATTGCTGTAAAGCCAGGTCCACACCTGAGCGATCAGTTGCATGGAACCCAACAATGTATATGCAACCGGTTTCGAGCAGTTGCACTGCCGGTTGCTATATGTAGAGATAGATTCTACTTTTAAAGTATCTGCTCAATGATTTGGGCCGCTTACTCGGACCACCATTGAAAGAACTCCTCCCCCCCCCCCCCCCCCCATTATTGCATCGTTGCGTTGGTTCCCAATCTCTTAAACGAGCGGTTATTTAAGATCACGCTGCTCATATTCAAGGCCTTGTGAGAGCTGGCTCCGCTTTATATTCACGAGACAATTCAACCGCAATGCCCTGGCAGGGTCCATAAGATCCGTCGATGCTGCCCTCCCATGTTACACCTCGATGTCGGTTACATTCTTGGGGTGATTGGGAATTTACCGTGGTGGTCCCCCCCCCCTTCCCCGGTTGTAGATCTCCCGACCGTTGGAGATCAGGCTCCCGGGCAATGCTGACAGTGTTTCAATCTCGACTAACAACCTATCTTTTTTTAATAATAAGGTTTCTCCTTCATTAGTTTTCTTCCCCTTTGGCTCGTATTCTGCCAGCCGCCTCTTTCTTCGTGGCTCCTTGAGACTTTGTGAAAGGCGCTTGACAAGTGCACATTCTTATTTCTGTAGCGATGTATTTCATCACGCGCACGCTCGCGAACTACTCGCTCCGATGTGGACAAAGCAGTTGCAGGAGACTACGTTGATTTCCAGAGCGACGTGTTTGTGCAACACATCAGCCCGGTGTGCGCTTGGCTTAAAGCTGTGCTTGCTGATGTTGGAGACCATCCATCCCATCGTTGAGACCGTCCCTTTATCTGTGTGTGTGCGGCTGTCAGGTGACTTTTGAGAGCAAGACAGAAACGCTGTACATACTTGCATATTATTAACACAGTAACAGCTCACGGCAATTAGCTGGTGACATGAACAGCGTGGGAAGTCGTGTCTTACAAATTATTGGAATAATCTGAGGTGACGTCTTGACTTAGTGTCCTATTTTCAAAACTTCTTGACTGCCACTGATATGTATACATGTCTTAGTAATATATTTCTTGATGCAAATACGTCGAAAAGCATCGCCTCAGCTACAGCATGTAGCTGGCATCACACAAATATGGTTTCCATTAGCAGGCTTGTCATCAGGAACACAGTTAAATATTTAGATCAGCGTTGCCACATCTAGAATGTTTGGTACTGTTATTTTTTTCCCATTTATTATTGTCAAAGTCTTTCAACTCCGACGTTCTCACACACACAAGTAAATAGTCCAGGTTTTTACCAGACCCAACCTTACATTCTTATGCAAACCAAACTTGTGAAGAAGACTTCGATCGACAGCAGGATGAAGTGACATCCTGGTCAGCCAGTGAAAATCCCAATTGGTGGGGGGGGGGTACATTATTGACTGTTTGCTGAGTTGTGTTTTTGGTCAATACATTCTTGAAAGGCCCCTATTTTAAGTTTCAAAACTAGTAACTGAATTCGGTTTGTTCACACGTATCGCACATTTTCTATCCGTTGGACTTGCAGGGTTTTATGGGTTGTTTTCCCATAGTCATGTCCAATTGCAATATATATACAGCATGTCATTTGTAGAATGTTGTCATTTGAAAATGGCAGGATCGTTTGTTGCGGTTGACTTTGAAAGAATGGAGTCGAATTTGATTGTTTTGTGTCGTTCACAATAAACCCTACCGTGAATTTGCACATCAACGCTTGCAGCCCCATCGACCGATCCAATGATGAAGGACGTTTTGGCTAGGGAGCCTTAATTTGTCTCACAGACTTGACCAATTTAATTGAATGGCTATCGACAGAGACCGAGCTTCAGTTAATCACGCATATGGTCACTCGTGGCTGCTGTAATTATAGAAAACTCGACCACGTTTTTGTTAATGCAGTGTTTTAAAAAAACTGACTTAGGAGGCTGTGTGAGCCATGTAGTTGACATTGGTAATATCGAAGCTCGTGCAGGCAATTCCGTAACTTTTCTACAAGAAGCCAAACTCACAACAAATGCATTGACGTGTAGCTGTTGCGTAGCTTCTTTGCAACTTTGTTGACAAAGCTGTGACTTTGTTCTTTACCGTTCTGCAAATGTTACCTTCTTGCTTCTTGCAAAACGCTTGTAATGACCACGAACCCGATCGCTACGATAGAAAAAAAAATAGAAAAAAATAGAAAAAGCAAAAAATGGCGAAAAAATATGACAAACCCTCAAAAACGCAACGATTAAAATGAAGATGGAAATAGGTACTAACGTTACATAAATTGTTTCCATTTTCATTTTTAGCCTTAGGGGCCATCCCTCCCCCCCTCCCTGTATGCACGCGGACTTTGTACACCCCCTCCCCCCACCTGCGTACGTACGCTTGACGCACCCCCCCCCCCCCCCGAATCATATAGAACGGACGATATTTAATCCACGCAGAAACGATCAAGGATTAATAATATTAACGTGTTTCAGCAAACAGACAGTCCACCGCCGGACTATCTAACTCATTTGAAGGCCAATGTAGACAATTTATTATCGAGGCTTCACCCCCCCCTCCCCCCCGTTTGCTATGCGTATGAACATTGTCAATAGACCCCCCCATACGCAAGCGTACGCATTTGGGTTAAACTCCCCCCCCTCCCCCCTCCATGCGTACGTACTAAATGGATGGGTCCTTAACTCTATGTAACAAGCTGAACCCATTAACTTTTGTCAAGTGATATTCATGCCCTCCTCCCCCCGTCCCTGCCTGGCTCCAAAATCCTCGGCCACTATTTCACAAATCTCTTCCCCCGCCGCGACCCCATTTCTCCACACCTCACAGGATTTCCTCGACTCCCCAAAAAAAACTAAATCTATGTCCGCCAATCGCCGCACGCACCGCTGCAAACATGTTTTGTGTTTAAACTATGAGACCTCCTTTACCACTGGCAAAATATAGTAGTAGGTTTTTCATCTGGTCCAACACCAATGGAGACTAGGCTCTAAGGAAAGCTGTCTCGGGTGTGGACCAATCAACTTCAAGGACAGTGCATATTATTATCATCATCAGAGTTGTTTCTTTTTGTATGCATTTTGACTACTTGTGTTGTGGTTATTGCAAACATGATGCCTTGTATAAAGGTGTCAGTTTTGTACCAGTTTAAAGGGTAAAAACCTACTACTATAGTTTTGTGTTCTTCCACAAACACCAATTTTTTTGTCCCCTGGAAATGAACGACATCGTGCACAGCCAGGCTATTGATGAAGTCGACACAAAGTGACCGTTGGGATGACAGTGTAAGGATTCATTGCGGCGTTTTGAAAGTTATAGCTTGTGACTTGGGCACACACACCACCAGCCTAGCGTATTGTTTCATAGGTGCGGTCTTCCAATCTCGAAGTTCCAGAGGCATGAAGGTCGTGGTTGTGAGTTCCTTTTGTATTTGGCCATAAGTCCCAACTGGGTGCTGAGATATTGTAAAATGAATGCTTTAAGAGCCATTGCAGATTGGGGTTTTAGTGAGCACTGTTATCTTAGCAACTTTTCAACAGTATAATACAGTACTATTGTAATATTTAGTAGTAATTGGCGTTAAATCGGCAACATCTATACTGCAATCTTCGTTCTACCCTCAACGTTTGAGGTTTGTTATGATATATTATGGAAGGACAAAGGATATTTAACATTTAAATGTTTAAATTAAACCGTTTGGTCATGCATGTAAGCCATTATTTACATGGGTCCTGCGATTACAACACCTGTACACGTATGATCGCCAGGTAGCTGGTAGGATGTCCTATGACATATTATTGACTGATGGTCACTTTAGTGATCACGCATAAAGAATGACTCCGTATGAAATTTGCATTCGATCTGAATCCTCCACAAGGGGGTGACTTGTTCGGAGCATTCTTTTTGAAAACGTTACAGGATTCTTGTATAGAACGCACGCGTGGATATCTGCTGAATATAACCACCAATATTGACGAGTAGGCAATACTAAGCCTTCACTATTACGTAGTGCAGCTTATACTTAATATTTGTAAGCGAAATATAATTGCCAAAAACGAAGCACATATACGTACCGCGATGTTTGTATGCATGCATACAACATGAGGAATACTTTTTTTTTAAGATGACCATTCAAATGTTCTGTGAAGATTCCAGATTAAATGTGTTAATAAAACTGTCCTGTGCATGCAAGCAGGTTATTTAAAAACCATAACCATATTGTTAACGCACAGTGATGTATGTATATAAACACCAATGACACTAAAAAAGTAATCTACCCATACACGGACTCACCCACGCGTATCTATATGAAGGCATTTACTCTATATTCACTATATAGTATTCATCATACACATCATCTCATCATATTTGGTTGGTTAATTAAGGTTCATCTCATGAGGTTTCTCTTCTTTCATCTCCGCAAGGCACCTGTGCTGTCGACATCCGGTCAAGTGGAGAGCGTCATTAGGAATCCTGGCAATACCCCCCCCAATGTAAAGCTGCCTAGAGTCTTCATTGAAAAACATATGTCTTTACGGATGTCCGTTTTTGGAATTCCGTCAAGAGGAGGTTCAAGTCACTGTTGTGAAACACTGCCAATATCTTGTATTCTATACATAGCAACAGATATCTGGAGAATTTTAAGGTGAACAACTTTGGTGTCCCGAGGTGATGCTTTTTTTAAATTCAGAAGCCCTACAATAGCGCTTGTGTCATCTTGTCCGAAACATGTTCAAGTCTATTACTGTTTTAGTGTCCCTCATCTGTACATACGAGAAAGAAAACCAGGACAATTATAACTCCAGTTTGCTAGAGTGTGCATGGTCATACGGTACTGTAATCAAGCTCTCCTGTTAAAAAGTCTCTGGAATTTTTAAGCCAAGGAGCTCATTTCATCAAGTTGAACAGTGTCCTCAAAATGAATGTTGTCGCTCACAAAGATATTACTATGATTATTGTTAGTATTAAAACCAACGCTCTGGTTTCAATGAGCTATAACGATGGTTACACGGCAGAGCTGTCCCACAATTTGTGGACTGTGAATATAACACAATGCGTGCGTTTGGTGAGAACTATTATGCTGAAAGCAATGAAGACCGATTCAAGTAAGAGTGGTCACAGAATTTGTAACGTCTGCATGTGTTCAAGTCTGTCTGTACAGCAACGGTACTGTTATCAAAGCTTTAGACTTAGTTTAGGCAACTAGCATCAGATACGTGGGGGTATCAAGTGGCTATTTAACTCAGCAATTATCAATTTATCAACGGTCTATCCCGCAATGCCAGAGAGCTAAACAAACTCGTGCTGTGGTTCAAACCATTCATGGGACATCGGAGGTGAATAAGGTTTCAGCCTTTCCAGACGGATTCTCAATTATCTGTTTTGTTCATTATTACTTTATTTAAGAAGTCTCTTCAATGCTCTTGTAACTAATATGTTAATAAGCAAAAGACAAGTCTGGGAATGTCGTTGTGGTTAAACAAGTTTTTTTTGTGTGTTCGCGCGCTAGTCGTATAATTGCTTTTTTCTTTTGCCTTTGTTTTTTCACCATTTGCGCATGAGAAAACATTTTAAACTGTAAAACTTCAACGAATAAAATGGCAATAATCTGACACTTTTTTTTATTATTAAAAGTGACCAATATTGTGCGTACTGTTGTGTGCTAGCAGGGCTATTATGCTTTGCTGTGTTAAGAAGTTATGGAAACTTAATTTCATTCCTTCCTCTCCAGTGTTCCAAATAGCGAGAGACTTTAAATCGCTCTGTTGTTTTATTTTATGTTGGGCACGAAACAATGTGAGTGGTCTTCATTGTATGGAATATTTTGCAAAGTCATTAAAAAGTCACACTTCAGATATCCTCGTGTCACACTTGAGTCCACGCGTTGTGTGTTTGACGTGTCAACGGTTCCGTGACTGAGTGTAATGTTTATTAATAAGTGATGATAATAATTTGTCGATCCACTTCTGGATGAAGACCTACCCCCCATGACCGACACGGTCATCGGGGTTGTTTGACCATATTTCACCGCTGGTATTAAAGAGGGTTTGGTGAAAAAAGTGGCTCGGAATGCATACATATTCTTTGGTTCTTTCGGTAAAGTCACGTAGATAGAAAATTTGTGCATTCTTGATTTTAATTATTAAATTGTAAATATTAAATGGGCAAGTTTCGTTGTAAATTTTAAGTTTAATTCCGTATAATTTTATTTAAAATGTATTTTCACCTATTTCATTTATTTCAGTATGCTGGACATCCACTTCTAGGGTCCATCTTAAATTAGTCTGGATTCTACAGATATATTTTATTATCTTTATTACATTTATTATCTTGATTTTCCTGTTATTAGTTTTGCCTTCTCTTTGGCTATGTTGACAGTCTGTGGTCACTCTGTGTTGAATATATTCTGGACAGACATGTGTGAGAATCAGGGGGTTTGTCCTTTAGAATCAAGTTAATCTAGTTCTTCATTTCACCATTTGGCCTTCTCCACATCCATTTCCAATATTCCTTCTTTTTAAAAATGTATTCAAGATGTGTATTGTCTTTGCTGGCTGCAGGCTGGCTGTATGCAGAGACAGGCTTGGTCCCATGGAAACTAAGCCTACCTCATCTAGGTTTCATTGCCTGGGGAGGTATGGGGTCCTGGGTAGAGAAACCAGGCTAAACAGGCCTGGTCCAGGGAACACAAGGCCTACCTCGCCAATGTTTTATTTCCATCCTGGTTGCATGTAGGTTCCCCTGGCAGTTCATATACCTCGAAGAAACACCCAATGCACTGAACTCAGGATTTTGAGTCTCCTGCCCGACACGCAATTTTTCCCTGAATGAGTTTACAATAACACATTTCGAGATGCTCTAACACAATGGGACTGGAATACACATTACCAGAGTCACTGTGGATCGATCTTCAGCCATTAATTGACCTATCTTTGCTTGCTCGGGTTTCGGTATAGCATCACGGCCAATACTTCATAGTCATCATTTTTACATCGGGTTTCCTTCACGCTGAGCTCACCCTTCTTACAGCACAGGGGCCCGATGGCTCACTCTCACCCCCAATGCCCCCCCTCCCACTCTCTGTTATATGGGAAACTGATGACAAGTTAACCTTCTAGGCTATCGGAATGAAAACAAATAAAAACTCCCGTGCGGAGGACAGGTTGGGTGGTGAGCCCCGGGTGTGTGTGTGGGTGGTGAGCCCCGGGTGTGTGTGTGGGTGGTGAGCCCCGGGTGTGTGTGTGGGTGGTGAGCCCCGGGTGTGTGTGTGGGTGGTGAGCCCCGGGTGTGTGTGTGGGTGGTGAGCCCCGGGTGTGTGTGTGTGGGTGGTGAGCCCCGGGTGTGTGTGTGGGTGGTGAGCCCCGGGTGTGTGTGTGGGTGGTGAGCCCCGGGTGTGTGTGTGGGTGGTGAGCCCCGGGTGTGTGTGTGGGTGGTGAGCCCCGGGTGTGTGTGTGGATGGTGAGCCCCGGGTGTGTGTGTGGGTGGTGAGCCCCGGGTGTGTGTGTGTGGGTGGTGAGCCCCGGGTGTGTGTGTGGGTGGTGAGCCCCGGGTGTGTGTGTGGGTGGTGAGCCCCGGGTGTGTGTGTGGGTGGTGAGCCCCGGGTGTGTGTGTGGGTGGTGAGCCCCGGGTGTGTGTGTGTGGGTGGTGAGCCCCGGGTGTGTGTGTGGGTGGTGGGGGCGGGCGGTCGGTCAGCATCCCGCTGCTCCGGTCAGCTCGTCCAGTCTCCCCGTGTACGTTGAACTTCTTTCGCACCGTACGTAGCCAACAGTGCTAATCGGAGGTGCGGGGGAGGGACAACAGACTAAAACACATAAAGCAGTTCTTGTAAAACGTATGTGGAAATGCCCAGCGATAGGCTTGTTCACTGCGTGTTGTAGAGGTTCCCGTTTCGAATCCGGCAGGCTGCCCTGGTTATTACTGTGGGTGTATAAGCCATACATGTATGCCGTCGGCTTCACATTCAAGATACCTTAACGTCATGAAAAAAGAATAGGCTATTGTGTATCGGCATCGCGGTCCAATTTTTAAAATGTATTCGCAAATAACTAAATTTAGATTTTACATCGCAGCAGTCACCACCCACTAACAAATGAATGTCCACTTACAGGCCAGGTACTGAGTCTCTTTGTGCCACACAAGGACAAGCTGCCACCGGGGGTGCCCTTTAAACAAAAACGTGAGTTGTAGCAAGGAATCCCGAATATCACTGAGGCGCGTGCTGCTGGCACGAGAAGGCCCCTCCTCTGGTCTTTGGCCCCAGCTCCACTGCCTCCACTGGTGCAGCAAGACAAGCTCCTTGGCGACCGTAGCAAGACACTTGGAAAGCGAAGGTCATACAAACATCATTTAATATCCAAATAAAGGGGGCAACCACGGAGACAAATAATAGCAATATGACCATGGTGCACTCCAATCAATAATAAAATCACTGCATGTAAATATTGACCCCCGCACACACACACACACAATTAAATATGATCGTGGGATGTGCTCATAATGTTCCTATTGAGGTCGTAGCGCATGGTGGAAATCTGTCCTTGGGGTCACATTGGCCTGGGCTGCGCGGTGCGTCCCAGTGACATCACTCTCATGCGGGTGACTTTCGTGGTTGTGGTTGTGGTGGTGATGACCGGCCAGTTGCTCGTCCACGCGTCCCGAATCCTTGATCGTGTGATGCAAGCCGAGCCACAGCGCCATGGTGAGCAATGCGAGACCGGCAGCGACCCGCGTGCACGTCTCCAGGTGACGCGAGGAACGGACCAGCCGAGGTGGGGACCTTGGAGCAAGGAGGGAGTTGTGGCGAAGAGGGGAGACGCAAGACTGGTCACGCCACCTCCCGTTTCATTTGACAACAACGGCGCACTTTGACAATTCAAATACATTGTTGCACTCTTCATCAAATGGCTTGCACGCCATTTCAATTGCATGACATTCACATCAGTAGCAGCAGCAGCGTCGTGTTGGGCAAAGGACGTATCGGTGAAAGTGACAGGGTTGGACGTTTCGATCAAATAATACATTGTGTTCTGGATTGGAAGTTTTCGTGACTGCAAGGGTGCATACTCTTTGGTTTTTTCGGTAAAGAAAAAATATTTTATTTTTTACCTCTGTGACTTTACCGAAAAAACCAAAGAGTATATACATTGTGTTCCTGTGTGGTTGACACAAGTCAAACCGCAAGCAGTCGACTCTGCTTTCTTTAATTGATTTGGCGTTAAATATCATTCGCACAGTGCATTGATACTTCACAGGTGAAATCTGATACATGATAGTAGCAATAAGTTATAAAGTAATTTCCGTCGTATCGTAATAGTTACCCACTATATGAAAGCGTTTGTATTCAACTTCGAGCTCAGTTGATACAGTTGTGTTTGTGGTCATTATTACAGGAGAAAATTAGTGTAATAACCCGAGGGAAAGGGTGAAGAGGAGCATCGGGATAATGAGCAGAACGAGGGATTCGCGGAGAGGGGAGGGAAGGAGGTGTAAGCAGAGGTAATGAGCGGAGGGAACACACGAGGGAGCTCATTTGTGTGCAGAAAACTGTGTTGCACTCATTAGTGTAAGCAGGGCCGGTACATTGGTGGGGGTGCAGGGCCCGGGACAAACCCCACCGCGTGGGCACCCCCCAACGCCTTCAAACTAAACTGTAAGTATTATAACAGACACCGTGAGGTCGATTCACGCCCCCCCCCCCCAAGCGCGGGGCCCGGGACGGTCGCCCCGATTCTCCGTACCTCTGAGTGTAAGACGTAGGATTACAATTCTTTGTGGGGAGGGACAGGAGTGGGATAAGAGTGGGCTGGGGTGGGGGGCACGGAGAAGGGTATAAGGAGGAGAGAGGGGTTCGGGGAGAGAGGTGAGAGCAGAGGCAGAGAGAGAATTTTGCGGAAGTCAGAGCCAAGGGAGGGGAATGAGGGTTCATACTCTTAGTTCTTTCGGTAAAGTCACAGCCAGATTTGCAGCAAATCTGGCTATGACAGTCCCACCTGATGACGGAGACTTGTGTTGCCTCCGAAACGTCGTGATTTTATTGTTTTATTTTTATTAATTTTTATTTCATTTTTTACCTACGTGACTTTACCGAAAGAACTAAGAGTATGAATCCTTGCAGTCACGAAAGCTTCAAATCTAGAATTAGGGAATGAGGGTGGCTGGACCCGGCGACTGCAGAGCGGGAGCCAAGTTCAAGGGGTCCTGGCGATAAAGAGACGCAAGGTTCACGTTCGGGGCATTAAGAGTTGAGAAATTGGCGGGATTCGAGTGGGAAACACCAATCGGAACATATTACGCATATAACACAGATAGTTATGATATACAATTCACTTGAGTATAGAAAATTTGGTCATATAATGCCTATCAAAATGAAGGCCATTGTCAGTTGCAATTGCCAATTGTGGTGGTGGCTTGCTTGTAGGGCAGCGTTCTTCCCTAGTTTTCAGAGGAGGGCCATTTTCGCCGATAAGACACATTTGAAACCATTGGGGATTTGACAGCAGCCACGATGTTATCACGTGCCGTGTGTTATCGGTGTCGTGGGTGGGGGGGGGACGCACGAAAGGTCACCAGGGGCCGCTAGTGAACCCGCGGGCCTCGTAATGAAGAACGCTGCTGCTGCTGTAGGAGGTCGCCCGGTTTGGGGCAGTCCATAAATGACGTCACGCAATTTTGGACGATTTTTGACCCCCCCCCCCCTCGTCACACGGAGTCACAAAAAGTCAGATCCCCTCTCGTATATGACGTCACAAAGCTCTGCCCCCCCCCCCCCCCCCCAAAATAAAACATGCTTCAAATCGCTTTAAACTATTGTCATTGTAGTGCGTATTTAATGTGGCGCTGCACTCTGATGTTGT